GATCACACAAAGAGTTGCTCCGTGCGGGAATTGAACCCGCGACACGTTGCGCGGCAGCCAGTTGCCCAGCCACCGCACCAACCGTGCAGTCTACAATACATATTAGGTAGTTCGAACAAATGTGTAACCAACAGCGTTTTTCACAGACAATCAAATAAAATTTAGCTTCATACAAATGAAGGAAAGAAAAAGAAAATAATTTCAATTTTAAAAAACCCAGTAATACTTTGCACGAGCCGGAAATCGAACCCTTGCCCGGCAGTCGCACTTGCGACCACTCAGTCAACGAGGCAGTCTAATTAGTAATAAATATTTAATAATTAGTAATTAATCAACAAACTATTCATGAATTGATTTTAGGACTTTGTTTTTAAACTGCTTGGCAGTAAGGGGAAACATGACAACGTAGTGGAAGTCCTTATTATATAAGTTTCCATCAATCGGCGCAGAGGCGCTCGCAATCCCGCGTTAGTTCGACAGGACGTCAACGCAAATAGAGGACACACACGTACCCCTCGACGTATTGTGGTTCTAGACGCTATGTAACTTATGCTGCTACGAATTTCAATACTGATGAACCTAAAAATACTTACAATGTTTGTGTCCTTTTCACAATTTAAGATAAAAAGCTTTATTTTAAGAAAAGAAATTCCTATACAATTTTGTGTCATGTGTATACAGTCATATGTGCTGACAACAATCCTATCTACATTACATGAAACTCGCACTTGTCCTCTGGGATTCAGTTTGAGTAGGTACATCAATTTATTTGAAGCATTTTTGTAACTAAGTTATGTTTTACACGTGTAGCCATCAAGTAAGTGTAGGGAAGTAATAGAGAATCTACCTACTCTTTTGTTGTTGATAATTTTGTTGTTCAATCGTTTCGAAATCGAAACAAAGAAAATACAATTCTAACATATATATTTTATGGCCGGAGATTTCGTGATCCCCGATGCCCGGTGTAGTAGTATTCCCTACTGAACAATAAAAGAATCCCGCAATTCGGATCAGAAATACTTAAGTTATTGACATACAAATATATATTAAGTATCGTGAAAATTACATCATTGAAGAAATTATATCGCTTATAAAATAAAAAAAATGTAAAGAATATTATCCATTTTGGCAATTTGCCAAATGAACAGTAATTGTAATTAATATAAAAACTACTGAACTAAAACTACTAAACTGAATAAAAAATTTATGGCACTAAAAACGGCAGCTAAGTCTAACAAAAAAATAATCACCCGAATCGATCTACAAACCGTGGTGTCGATGTACAAACATATAAAAATGGTAACGGCCAAATTGAGAACCTCCCCCTTTTTAGGATGATGGTTAAAACAAATCTAAGGTTCTTGATCCTAATAGTACCTAGTCATATAATACACGAGTAATTTCTGAAGCAAATCTCCAAGGGTAGGTTCGCTTTACCCTCATTAAAAATAATTATTGTTTTATATTTCCACCAAAGTGCCTAGAAACATAGATGAGAAGGTGATTGTCCGCTGTCCGTCCTTTGTATATTCATTTTTCTTGTAAATGTTGACCTTTGTAACTCCACGTCTCCGACCAATTACATTCCTTCCACAAAAAACTAATCTCTTCCCAAAATAGGAACGTTATTAAGGCTGTAACTTGATATGTTTTCTCGCTAAGAAGTCCTTTTATATCAAAGTATTTCTAATGTGATCGTCCTCACAGAAAATATCTTGTTTTTCGATTTATTTTCAGAAATAGAAGCTATTTTCCAGGGATCAGTCGTCTTTGGCGGCGCCTCAAAGTGATATACGCGGGCCCACAGCCCGGGAGTGGTTGACTCAAGTGTGGGAGTGTGGGACTTAAATGTGGGAGAGCCATGCTTCGGCACGAATGGGCCGGCTTGAACGGATTGATACCACGGCCACACAGAAATGTTTTGTCGTTTGAGTGAGGTTACAGGAGAAAAACAAATAAAAAGTAATAACTATAAAGCAAAAAATTATTATTACAGATGGTTGCCCACCTACTGATAGGATAGAAACGGCGCAATAAGTTCTTGAAAAAAATGTTTATTATCACCGTAATAGATACCGAATATTAAGCTGTTGATAATTTTGTGACCATTAAGTAACGTCATTTTCATATAAGCTTATGGCACCGGCTTCTAACGCAGTTCTAATCAATACAAATTATACAATCCCAAACACAACGTAGTTAGAGTGAACCGTTGAAGAGTTCCATTACATTCTTCTTCATCAGCAGACCCTTGATGACAGCCCCACTCCATCGAGGTATAAAGTTAAATAAAGTTCTCATCAATACAAATTAATCAAGCCAAAACACGAGGTAGTTACTACAAACCGTTGAGGAGTTCCCTGGATTGTCTTTCGGCTCCATCATCATATCAACTCCAAACCTATGTCAAATTGTACAGGTCTGAAATACCTATTGAAAATATTAACAAACTCACTGGTTGTCCCTATAACTTTTAAAGTTCCCCTCGGTTTCCTTGAGATCAAATCATCAGATCCTGATTTGGTGACAATGGGACAAACAAAAAAAGAATTATGAAGATCGTTCCTTAAACGGCGGAGTAATCGGTGAATATAAATAATAAAAAAAAAACAATCATTCGAACATAGTACCTCCTAATTCTGTGTAGTCGCTATAGAAAAGAAATTAATTGATGATAGATTTATTGTCTGTGAGTTGATAGAGGTTAAAATGATGGCTAATGTTAGATGTCGTAAATGTATTAGTACCTTATCTCATTGACAGATTTGGACACATATTTTTTTCAAGCTTTTATTAATTTGCAATATATGTATGTGTGTGTGTGTTTTTTTTAAGCGGGGAAAATCATAAAATTACTGCTCCCGTCTGGGTGAGGTGGGAGGGAGTGTCAGACTCTTACTGACTAAAAACCACCCCGTTCCTTCTCCTGCACGTCGAGCCGGAGCCCCAGTAACCCGTTAGGTATGTATGTATGTGTGTAAGATGGAATTTAGCTACTAAATTTGGAAGCAGATACGTCAACCGATGGAGCTGAAATTTTGTTTACACGTGTAGTTTGCGTGACCATAAATGGCAAGCAGAGTAAAAGGTTGTTTTAAAAATGACTTAACATAACATCACACCTTTTATCCCCGAAGGGGTAGGCAGAGGTGTACACGGCAATCGCACTTCTTGCGACCACTCGGCCAACGATGAAGTTTTAAAAATGCTAAGTTATATTATTTTACTATTATCACTTTGGTACTCCTGTATGACTGGCTGGGCTCGCTGCCATTGCAGCGTTAAGTCCCCTCTTTGAGGAGTGGCTTGAGAGACGCTACGGCGTCCTCACCTACCGCCTGACGCAGGTCCTCACCGGACATGGAAGTTTCGGGAGATACCTGTGTCTGATGGGGCAGGAGGAAACGCCCGGGTGTCATCACTGCGAGGACCGCGGATACTCATTCGACGATTTTCCCCCCTTAAAAAAAATGACTATATGGAAGTTTAAAAGAATATTCCAGAACACAACATACATTTATTTATTTATTTATTTTACACTTTATTGTACACCATAAAAACATACATAAAAAACAAACATAAAAGAATGTGCACAATGGGCGGTCTTATCGCAGAATGCGATTTCTTCCAGACAACCTTTGGATGGAGCCAGTATTCAGGAGTTGGAAAAATACATTTTACCTAACTAAGACTAAAGCTAACAGCATTCTAATTGTGGTTAGACAGTCCGTCCCCAGACGCAGAGGAAGTTGACACAGCCTGTATCTTGTACTCGTACAGTATTTTCCTCATGACGTAGCTACGATCATTACTTCCTACACGAGTTTAGAAGTTCAGAAGAACACTCAACTCCAGGGTAAGGCAAGTTAAATGTCTTGACATTTCATAGTACAGTCAACATTTATTTTCGTTATAGATTTACTGAAATATAAATTACGGAAATATTCCTTATTTTTATTTTTGCCTTATCCGAGAATGAAGACTGAGACCCCATGCTCGGCAACCACACTTATTGCCAAACTGTCAATGAGGCAATCCCTTGGTAGTATAGGTACGGACGTCTTCTGTCGCGGTTGTTTGTCTGTTCTACACATATTCAACAACTACTGAACAGATTCTGATAGTACTTAATACAGTACTCAAAAATTTGGTCACAATATCAGTATCAGAAGCAGGATCCAAGAACAAAATCATGATTCTGCAATTATCAAGTGGTATGATAGTTGATACGTAATTAAAATGAAAGAAAAATATACCTTTAGTACATTGTTTTATTTCTGCAATGTAGTTATTTTGTACAAATATAATTTACTTTAACTGGAGCGTTAACTTTAACGAGCACGCAGTTTTCTAATCCTTGTAAACGCGAAACGAAGTAAACAATTCTGTTCCAAAGCTTAAAGTCGCTAAGCAAAATGTGCTAAAAAACTCATACTTTATGTTACCTAAACCGATTCTGCATCTCTCTTCGCCGATCCAGATTCTGTTCTAAATTTAACCCTTAGATATAAATACCGAGTCAGTAGCTACATTCGCTCGGCTTTATGACTGTGACTATACCACAGTACGTGAATGTTGTGTGCCCCTCCGCACGACACATAAATGCCTCCGTTCTAAACTAGTGTTCCTGATGACATATACAGACCTCAACCTGCCTCAAATTGCCTGTCTCAGTTTACTGAGAGAGCATTATGAAAAACTGCCCATAAGTTGTCATTGACATTTTTCCAGGAGTAAAAACAGTGTCATAGCAAGATGAATAATCTGTGGGCGCGATCGATAGCAGAATGCCGCGGGTTGAGGTTAGCTAGGAGGGGGTGCACGTCGGGCTGGCTGGAGGTGGAGAGCTGGGGGTCGGCCAGGGGGCTACAGGGGGCGCTGTTTCATTGAGAACGTGTGGGAGGCGCGCGTGGGCGACCTGCTTATAAAACTGGCCGGCCCTCCCCTCCTACTCGTAGTCGTGTTCTGATCGCGCCTAGACCAACATCTATTTGTGAATTATGTGCAACATGCGGCTCTCGAGCTTTAGGTGAGCTTTATTCTTTTGAATATTCTTCATAACTCAAAAATTCATTCTGATATTATTTTGTAAATATAAATTGTTTTGTGAATATCAATTTAGTAAATATTTTATTGCCTTTCTTTAATTAAAAAAAGTGGATCACAAATATATATTGAGTAACAAACCCTTTAATTATAACGCCTAGGTTTCAAAGTTTTGTCAAATGATAACAGTGCGAATTTTGTTTTAGGTTATTATCGGTCTTACTTGGCTACTTAGTAGCTCAAGCAAAGGCTTACCCTATGCAGGGATGGCCTATGTACCCGCAAACATCTAGGGAATACCCAGATGATGAATACTACTATGCTCCCAAAGTACAATACTTTTATGATGCTCCAGCGATTGGTGTCCCAGAAATGCACGCTCAAGTTCCATACCCCTATTTCTACGACCCGTACGGTCACTTTATTGCAAATGAAGCGCCAAAGAGACAGGAAGAGAGACTAGCAGCCTTGCCTATTGGACAGGAAACTTGGTTTGAGAGTGACACCACGCCCCGCTGGCAATCCAACGATGTTGATGACGTCAGTGCAGCTTTCCTCGATAATTTGATTCTTACGCAAATGGCACAAGACGCACAGAGACGGCGCGAGAATGCCCGCGCAGCCTTCCCGCCTGTTGATTATGACGAGCCTGATGCCCAAGATGAAGACGTGCGAGAACTGAAGGCTTTGGCTGGGAAACCTTTGTACCATGTCCCCAAGACAGTGCCAAGGATTGACGAAGACGATTATGCATCAGATGATGGCTTCATCAACTGGAACGGAAACAAGAGAAGCGTAACCACCGCTGCACCACAGCTTACCACGGAGCCGGCCAAAGCTGGTGACAAGGAGTTTGTGAGGCCACAGCCTGCAGCCAACCCATTCAGTCGTGGACATCAAAACAGCCAGAACAAAAGAAGCAATGCTTTCTACGATACGATCGTGCAGTACTTCGCGGACAAGAAAACAAACAAGAAATTACAAGTAAGTTATTCCAATAAACTTTACAATTTTTCCTTATTTTTGCCATAATAGGTTCCAACTTCAAATGAAAACAAATACCCTTCACTTTATTATAAATGGTTAATATTATTTCATTGTTTGGGAAGGCAGTAAGACTGTGAAAGCTCCAAAGTCTAAAAATAGCATGGCCGGGCCGGGGGTGGTGGCCTGGCGGGTGATACAGTGGGCCCCGAGGCCGGGTCAATCGGCGCCGGGGGGTACCGCTACAAGCACTAATAACACCTCGTACATCACATTAAGCGATTCCACTCAGAACGTCCGGCACTATTGAGGAACATGGAGTCCTTAATTAACATAATTTTATTTTGTCAACAGGATACAGCAAAAGAACGAAGAATCGAAAAGCGTTTTATTGCTAATGACTCGGATCTAGTTGGAGAACTTCGAGGCCTAAAACATCGCATTTCCACTTAAACAAATACTTCGGAATTACCGCCAACAAATATGAGACTGAGTAATAAGTAGATTAAATAGTTACGCAGCGGCGACATCATAGAACGTTCGCGATAGGAGGCAAACAAAATAACAAAAAAAAAATATTAACATTTGTCACGAGCATATATAACGTTTAAGTACATTACATAAAGTTTTGTCGTCCACTTTGAATAATATGTTAAGTAATTACGTGTCAATAATATAATACAATGAGTTTAGAAAATCCTTTTCTATCTGTATGGTCACTTCTTCCGTAACAGAACTAGTGGTAGCTATATTAAGTGTGGGTAGGTACGGGTGTAAATGATGGTACAAACTGTGACTATAATCTCCATTAGAACAAATGAGTCGTTGACTGAAATATGCATGATGCTATAGTTAAAGTTGCTCCTTCAATTGGCAGCTACTATGTCGCACGCGAGTGCAATTTGTAAATATGTGTAGGTACTGATCGTCTAAGACTTATAATTACATATTTAGATAGAAGTCAATACATGAAAAATCGAAATGAAAATCATTCGGTTACTATTTTTTCATTTTGTGTAAAACTGTTGCCGAAAGTTTTGCCAGTTTTGCTTCTTTGATTGCAAGCTATGGCAACATATGCGTGAGATTTTCTCATACGAATTTTCTATATTCTTTGAAATTAGGTAGTTACTGAATTGATTATAATTTTGTCTTCATTCGTATGTAACAACTGTAATATTGGCCTATCTGGTAAACATTGTATTTTCTCTGGGGTGCTAACTCATTGTTTTAAGTTAAATTTATTATCGGTCTATGCAGACAATATTTAACACAAAACCAACTTTTTGCAAAGCAAAGACGCAACACATACTTAGTATATATGAATTATATATATATATCTATTTATCTGTTAGGGTTAAGATTCTCTCGGGAAGCAGAGGATTACGTGATATTTTAGCTTTACTGCTTCTTACCTAACGTTATTTAATATGCATCTGGTCTATGAGACCAAGAAAAAACACAAAAAAAATGAAACTTTGTTAATCCATTTTCTATTCGCTATTTTAAAATAAAAGTTCGCTTACGTTCATCTTTCAGCAATTTTTGTAACCACATTTTCTAACATTCCAAGTTTGTATTTAAGAAATCCAAGTTTGTCATTAAGATTTGATAAGTAATTGTATCTTTCAAAGTACATATCTGTTTATATTAACGTCAAATTACTTTCCTACGTTGAAATGACATGATCCTTATAATTAGTTGTAATGTAATATAATGTGACCTGTAAAGTATTACTAGTTGATGTTAAACATAATGGAAGTAAATATTGTAAAATACAGTTAGGGTTCTGTACACTTGATTGTTACAATCTCAGCTATTATTTTTACGGTCTGCAAACTCCTATATTATGAGAGCCTACGAAGTTATACGAAGTAGTAGATAAATATAATTTTGTATTGTAGTAAACATGTCCGAGCAGGTATTTAGATGCCGTTTTGCAAAGTATTGCTCAGAATATTGTCTATCTGTAGATACATATTGCTATCTGTGTATTTGTATGTTGTATAGGCATTAATGTATTTTCATAGATAGGTTTTTTTAATTATTGCCTACTTGTAACTGAAAATGAACCTATGGATACAAATCCGACCTTAGAGAGCTACGAAATTGTATCAATATTTAAACAAGAATAAAACTAATACAATCATTTCGTGAATTGTACGAGCATTTTCATTGTATTTTATTTCACCAATACATAAAGCCTTCCCGAGTTCCTAAAAAGCATTCCACACTTATAGTACGCACTGACGTACACTGAGTACCTGTATCTTTCTCTTCGACTTATCTCTTCAAAAGCATAAGAATTCAATCAATAGTAGAAGTAACATAAATAACTAACATAACGATTGTAAATTTATGCTAAAGCCTGATTGAACCCATGTTAATTATTTACAAATAGATCACCAAGTAATGTCTATACCTACATTAAAATCAAATTAATGAAATTAATTGATAGGCGTAGAAAGGCATAACACCTAGTCATTAAATACCTTTTTATGCCTTTTACTGTCGTTTATTGGTATAAAATGAGATTTCGAATACTCTTTAAATTCATTCAGTACACCTTCGCTAATACTATAATAGTTATGAGGTTGCTTCAATATTGTATTACTTTAAAATCTTGAAATGAAGTAAGTATCATTAAATCTACAAATCGTTCTTAACTAATTAATATGTTTTCGGCTTTCTCACGGAACTGTTTGACGAGGAACTCGACTAGTTTCAAGTCGAAACTAAATAAACTAACTTACCAAGTAAGTCGAAAACATAATAATTAATTAGTATGTCTCGCGAAAGTTTAAATACTAGCCTTTTTAACTTTAACAACCGTATTCACGAGCTATGAAAATGAATCCTTTTGAATTAACCCAGCCTAGTTTCCAAGGAGGATGTAAACTGATACACGAGCGCCCTAACCCGAGGTAAAGTTAAAGAAACTTCCAGCAACCGTATTTACCCGATATGTATTGATTCAAGTAAATGTTCTTGAATAGTGAATAAGGCACGAATATTATAATACATTATATCAAATAATACCTATACCTAAACCAACGAATATTAGGGGCCAATTTAAAAAAATATCTACAGAGATAAACTGAGAGACTTAGAAATACAGAGTAATACTTGCTCTGCCACCAAACCCACGCATTTACCTTTGACCTTTTCTCATAACGCCTACGAACGTCCTTTATTTTCATACTGCGGAATTTCTTGACTAATACTGAAACGTTTCTTAAATATTTATTTTAAACCGGCTGCTTAAATTAGACTAGTAGAATGCATTTGTGTCAGCTTGGAGTTGTTATGCTCACTGAAAGGTCTTATTGGCGGTGACACGTGCAGTGGATCGCTCGATTCCTAGAGAGTATTTCCTGGAGAGTATATAACCTATGGAGATTCTTGCTCGTTCTTCTCCAAAAGAATGTACACCTTGGAATGAGCAAATAGCTTCACTTTTATATTTTATGTTGACGTTCAAAAGTGCCTTTCTGGTCTAATTGAAATGAATGACTTTGACTTTGACTTTGGTTGTGTTTGAGGGCTGTTCGAGTATTCGGGTGTAAATTAATTACTGACGAACGTCACTTCAAAGGCTTCATACTGTCTTCTAGGAAATACTTTAAACGGTCTTTGAGGAATTGTGAAAACAGAATTACGAATTAACAGCTAATTTTCATTTATAGACTTAATTAGAGAGTCTGAGATAAAGGTTTACTAATGACAGTTAAGCCACATCAGGTTATGATGATATTACGTATAATATTTATTCGTATAATAACGTATAATAATTACCTTTTCCTGTATAAAATATTATACAAGAAAAATATTTACAACGGTACATACAATTTAGTTTGTATATAGCTATTTATTAGTTACTGCTTCTACAATACATTGTACTGAATATTTTATGAAAAGCCCACGATCACTCACAAAAAGGACGGCTCTTTAATTAAAATGAACAAATTTCTTTATAGCTTTTTCCGTGACATATAATATTGCGCATGTGCTGTGAGGGAATTGACAGAGAGTACCCCGAGTATCTACACTTAATTTTATTCAAATTTTTATCGTTGATAGTATATAGTTATGATAGTCTCGACGATCTAACACTCTTACCATCACTGGCTAATAAAATCAGTTTGCTTATTGCAAATGGAAGGCCACATCGTAGTACGTGCGGCACACAGTACACTATAAGCATCGTAACCCGCTACGGCGTAGCACCCGTAGCATATTATGCTAGCTTAGAAACAAACATGTATTTCTTTGTAGATTCAATGTTGAAACATTCCATGCTAGTTTCCACAATCGCGAGACAGGTCTCCGAGATAGGAGCATTGGTCTCTTTCAAGTAAAAAAAAAATAGTACCTACTGTCGCAAAGTACCTCATAAAGAATGTTGTAAGTACAGTAAGCTCTTAAAGAATTTAGTATCTAGGTCGACTTTATTTGTACCGAGTAGATAGATCAATAAGTTACCTACAGCTAAATTAATGCGTAATGGAATAGTGATTGGATTTGACTGAATTTGGGTAAATAAATTGTTTAGGTACACAATAACTGCGTCTAACCACCCCATCGAACACTAAAACTAGAAATCCTTATTTTGCATTCGTTTGTACATAAATACTGTTTTTTCTCAACTGACAAGAAGGAGCAATTATAAACAAGGGCCTGTTCCACAATATTTGATTGAGTTACTGCTAGTTTAAATAACACACATTTTCACTTATAGCTTACATAGGTACATTTATTTTACACTAGCAGACCTGGCAAACTTCATACCGCCTAAAATTTTCAAGAACAAAATTAGCCAAATCGGTTCAGACCACCGAGTTTAAGCGAGATTAACGAATGGAAAATCATTTTTATTTATACAAAATATATATAGTTCAAGTATAGAATTATAGACTAAATCTATTCCCCGCCTTAACCAACATCTCCTAAATTTTAAGGATCCCCTAAACTGAGAAAGGTGACCCTTAACATCACTTTGGTTTTCACCAACCTATAAGTGACATCCAAGAGTACAAGCAAAAGGGTTAGTTTAAGTGCCACGTCACGCTAAGTAACTTTTAGTTAAGAGATGGCATAGGTGTGGTTAGTAAAAAGGTCAAGCAGAATATTATTTTTTAAACAGTACATCAAAAACGTGTGTAAAAACACAATTCGCAATAAATCTATTTTACTGGATCTCTCTCCGCTAGTACTTTTACTTATTAGGTACCTACTCCTCTTATCCTTGGGCTGAAGTTCAGTGGTCGGGATAGCGTCCAAATTCATTCACAATTTAATTCCAATATTTTAAAAAACATACCAAGTGAATTGCTAACCGTACAGGTAAAAGTTATGAACCTTCATTAAAAGTTAACTTGTAAGTTTAACTTCATTATTCTATGAATTTGGGATCACTGTGTATAAAATAATGTTATTATTGTGTATTTGATGATTATAATTGGTAAATAAACTACTTTAGTAACATACCTAATTAAAAAAAAAATTAGTTCAAGCGCGTTTCTTTTTTCAGTTTTAGAGTTACCGTGGGCGTCATTTTGAAATTAACATTATTTATTTTATAATATATAATTTTAATAACCGTTCATTTCAGCCTATCCTATCCTATCTTGGTTCGAAAAAAATGTTGGAATAGATCGGTTCTATAACCCCATACGGGATTATGGTCGAATCACCCTGTATACGAATAAAAAAAAGTTTGTGTTCTCATAATCATTGATCATACATGACTGTTCAACACGAGAGGTCAGTGGCGTAGCTAAAAGGAGCCCCGTTGAGAGGTTTCATCTGAACTTCTCTGTTTTTTATTGTGAACGGGGGCCTATCTGATGAATTTTCCACGGGCCCCAAACGGTACAGTTACGACAAACTATGACAACACTCAATGAAAATAAGTTGAATGCCAAACTGTAATACAGTCTGTTTTGCGACTCGTTTTTTTTTTTGTTTAAACTAAGGAAAGAAGTTTACTAAACAGCAAAAGAAGCTTTCGGAGTGGAGCGCGGCTGATTGATTGAATTTTGAGTTTATAGTTATTTTTAATACTTAGAACAAGAAACTGGATAAATTTTATCAAGTTTAGATTATGGTCTCGCTCGAAAAATTGTTACTAGTACTAATAAGAGTGACTATGACAGATAGGAATCGTATTACTGTTTAAATGAAAAACCTACACAATAAACGATTTTAAGTCTAAAATACGGATTATCTATTTGCATTACATATTTATTCATTATTATTATGTGAGTTTTGAATTTTATTTGGTTGGTATTTCCAATCTGTGGCGCCCTCATTAATTTTCATTAATAAATAAACAAACTATAAATCTTATCTTAGGTTTTTATTTCATAGCAACCATTAATAGTATTATTGTAGTTATACCGTATTTTCCGAGTATTTTCAAAAACCTTATATATTTACAACCACTAAGTTAGTTTCAAAAAAGTCTAGATTCTTCCAAAAATCGTAAACACTATGCAATTTTACGACTTGCAACATCAAACTAAACGTTTACGTCAAAAAGATGACGTCAATGTCATTGCCAAAAAAAGTAAAACAGGCACACATGAGATCAAAACAAATCTTTTGAATCTTGTTTATTTTTATTATTTGGGACCGAATGTATGTGAAAGTAATTATTCTGTCCATATTACAACTTTGCAATGGACTTGGTGCAGTTTCTTGTGATAGAATATTACCGGTTCAGTGTTTGAATGTATAAAACCGCTTATATTCCCGTTACTTGGTGTTCGTGAGTTCAAATCCACGTCAGAAGTGAATTGCTGAAAAAATGGGTCGGTCTAAAGGATATCAGGATTTAGATGACAGCCACATAAGGCCCCGGTCCCCGGGGCCGCCCATGCCTCCACCTCAAGAGATTGAAATGGCATCAGTCTCTGTTGTCCCTGATGGTACGATAACTTTCTTTGGCTTCTATTAAACACTTTTAAATATTCGTAAACGCTAGAGCGTGTAATGCTACGACGCTCACAAATCAGTTTTTTTAGTACAATACTCACAATTATATTCTAGTTAATAGAGTCTAAAATAAGAAGTTTTTATTTGTATACTTTAGAAACTCACATCAATCATATGTCATATGAAAAATGTTTTATCTACTCAATAGATCTCATTATGTAGTTAATAATTCCAGTAATGTTCAGTGTTACTTACAAATTATCATTATTAATTTCTTCTCTTTTTATCATCTGTGTAATTATTTGCAGTACCTACTTTCCATATACAATACATTTTTGGGATATCAGTATTTATTTTTAGTTTTAGTTTCATATGTAAGAAGAAAATAAACCAAAAAATATATGCAAGAACCTAGTATAAAACTTTTTAAAGTTTATTTAAAAAAAGATTATGCTAACCACTTGGCACATACATATGAAACAAAAGTAATATATTATAGAAAAATTAATAGCCACTTATATATAAAATCTATCAAACAATACTGTTGGTATTAAATATGTATTCAAAATTATATCAATAATTTCAACATTTGGTGTGCACATTCCAGATACTTTCACAGTAACTCAGGCAGTGAATGCGCTGGGATTTGGTTGGTTTCAAGTTAAACTTTCACTCTTCACTGGACTGTGTTGGATGGCAGATTCTATGGAAATGACTATATTAAGTATATTGTCACCAGCTTTACATTGTGAATGGAATATTAGCAAGTAAGTATTAACAAGTCCACAATTTTCACAAGCTACAAGGTTCCAGGCTACAGGTGCCTCCTTACAATAAATACCAAGGTTAGCTTAAAGAGCTTACTCTTTTCAATCTAGGAATGACAACAATACAGGAGTATACTTATTATTAAACTGTCAAACACCGAGCGGTCACCGGTGACCGCGACCTATTGTTCTTTAATTGTGTCTATAAAACTGGTAATCGACGAGTTAAACTGAGAACCTAATTATAATAATTAGAATATTAACAATAGATAAGTAATTAAATATTTTACTTATGCCATGCAATGTAGAGTATGCCCTGCAAAGGAAGGTAAGCAACACTAAAAGCACTAAACTATTAGTTTATATTCCATAATCCATTTATTTAGTTTTGTTTTCCTTAAATTGATAATAATATAAATACAAACAAAAAGTATAAATAATATAATATTTAATTTATTAAATAATAAATACTTTTCCCATACAATTCCAGATACCAACAAGCTTTAACCACTACAATAGTGTTCATGGGAATGATGCTCAGCTCCACATTCTGGGGTAACATCAGTGACCGATATGGAAGGAAAACTGTAAGTATATAAGTATCATGAAGCATAAATAAGAGTATTTTATAATGTTCTCATAGTATATGCATATGCGTGCTGTACAATATTAGCCTGTACACCTGTGTTGAAAAAAAGGGTAGTTACATCAGGTAGAATGAGAAAAATTCTCATCTTCTACCCCCCACATGAACAAAACATGCCTGACTGCCTCGTTGGCCGAGTGGTCGCAATTGCGACTGCCGGGCAATGGGTCTCGAATTCGATTCCAGGGTCGCACAAAGCAGTACTGGGTTTTTAAAAAAATCTGAGTAGTAGCACGGAGTCTGGAATTGCGCCCAGTATATGACAATAGGCTCACCCCTATTACATGGGACTCATAACATAAATAGTGAAAAGTGGGTGTTACATTGTATAGTGGCATAATGTGCACCTCTGCCTACCCCTTCGAGGATAAAAGGCGTGATGTTATCTTAATGTTATATTATGAACAAAAATACATTCTCATGCAATGGTCTGTTGTATATATACCTAAAAAGTACACCATATTCTATATAAAAATGCACAAAACAATAGCTAATTAACAATTTATTAACATTATCTTGTTTTATTTGCAGGCTCTAAGTATGTGTGGAGTATTACTGTTCTACTATGGTTTGCTAAGCTCTATAGCACCAAACTTCCTGTGGCTGTTGTTTCTAAGAGGTCTTGTTGGATTTGCTATAGGATGTGTGCCACAATCGTAAGTAAATCGATATAAAATTTATAAGCTATGTGGCAAGTAGAACAGTTGTTAAATCCAATATTTAATTAATTTCAGTGTCACATTGTATGCAGAGTTTTTGCCAACGAAGCAGAGGGCTAAATGTGTTGTACTTCTTGATGTAAGTAATTTTTTAAATAAGGTAAGGATTGAGAAATAAATTAATGTAATGCTGGACTTTATATAAAAAAATAGCCTGATTCTAATGTATTAGAATCACAAAGGCTTACTGAAACTGAGCAGGGTCATCAGACTGATAGTAGTACTATCATAGTTGTGATTCTCCACAAACCTGAAGGCAAAGCCAAAATGGTGAAGCAAAATACTAGTGACTTTGGGGCTTTATTAACACATTCACTGCGTTACGGCAAGTATTTGGCCGTATTTGATTCTCAGCCAGTGCGGTAGCTCGTTGTCCTTGTTTTGCGTACTGTGCGGGGGCGATTTATCTAAGTTCCCTGGCACTTTTTGGAGATATTGAAAAATCTCTGTATCCTTCAAAGTATAACAGAAAACCCAGGGCCACTGCAGCTAGGTACATACAAGGATATAGTCTATCGATTTGTTGATAAAAACCATTGATATAGGCGGTTTCCACGTCTGTATAGGATTTGAAAGTCAGGGTCTGGTACGGCAAAATAAAAGCCGTAATGCATATCAGAAAACATAGATACGGGCAGCATTTGTCTCGTATCGCACTAGTAGAAAGTTTAGATTTAACGCTGCCGCAGTGAATGTGTTAAATGTTATATATGTTACCGGCCAAACCCGATTTCAGGAAAAACTAGTTTTGCCTAGGCTAAACTAGTTCTTCCTATATGCGTTAGGATGAACTAGTATAGCCTAGTTAGAGTGCGCCTATTTATATCAGGATCAACTAGTTTGTCCTAGCCTAAACTGGTTTATCCTATCGGGCTTAGGACAAATTAGTTTGAACTAGGCTATACTAGTTCATCCTAACGCGTATAGGAAGAACTAGTTTGGCCTAGGCAAAACTAGTTTGTCCTGAAATCGGGTTTGGCCGGTAACATATACATATTTAATAATTAATTAATATTGATAACCACATGATACACTTCTAATTATTTTCTAATTTTTACATACAATATTCTGTCAGTTTTAATAAACTGCCAAGTTATATTGATGTGATATGTTTTTTTTTATTATTATAGTGTTTCTGGGCGCTCGGTGCTTGTCTAGAAGTTGCTTTGGCGTTGGTAGTAATGCCTACATTAGGAGTGCACTGGCTCCTTGCTCTGTCAACCATACCTCTATTATTCTTCGCCCTAATATGTCCTGTAAGTATAATGTTATACAAAATAATATACTTAAACATATGTTTTGGAGTAAATAATGTGTCTACAGCCCTAGATTATAGTATGATGTAATTTTGTCTATTTGTATAAGTCATGTGTATTCCTAATTAGAGTAGTATCGATTTGTGCATTGCAATAAACGCACGTATATTGGCCTACTGTTTTACTGATACTCACCTAAGAAAGTACACTAAAATATACCTCAGATAGCAGTGTATGTGAAAGTTATGTACATGTGTATACATACAAAATATTTAGGGCCTCTTCTACCAACGCAAGATAAATTTTAACTGAGGAATAACTCTTTCAATAATTGACAATTCTTCCATACCAAACCAGCCTTAGTGAATGTTTGTCATTTACCGATATTGGGAAATATAGATATATATAGAATTTAGTAATAAATAATACAGAAATATTCATTATAACCAAACTTCACAAACACTTTTCCGCTTCAAATTACAATGAACAACTCTTATTATAAGGTGGGCGCAGTGGCTACACGACCGGCTACTGCTTTGCTACTAGTATTCAGAGAGTAAAACTAGTATCTTCTACAGGTACTTTGTTTGTATGTGTGTGTAATGTGTACGTGAGATTTGTGTTAGTAAATTTTAACAATAAAACGGACAAAAATTCAAAAACTAATGGAAAATATGGTTACTATAAGATTGTAGAAAAGGCAAAGTATTGTACAATTGTCTGTGAACAAAATTGTAATTTAATAACGATTATAAATAATGTATTTCAGTGGCTTCCTGAATCTGCAAGATATCACGTCGCTAGTGGCGAGCCAGATAAAGCTCTGGCCACTTTAGAACAGGTATGTAGGTAATACATAGATATGTTTGGCAATGCTGAGGATATCATTCATTGCGGAATACTATTCTATAAGTTTAAGTTCAAATTATTTTAATTCTTAATAACTTATCTAAAGTCTGTGTTAATTTGATATTTCAGATAGCACAAGACAATGGCCGGCCGATGTTGTTGGGGCGTCTGGTGTGCGACGACTCCGTAGGGATAGGACAACGCGGCCGGCTCAAGCATCTTCTCATACCGCATCTCAGGAACACCAGCTTGCTTCTCTGGTTTATATGGTCAGTATTTGTCTTTATCTTTATCCAAATAAATACATTATTATTACAAATGTTATTTTTTTAACAAAATAAGCCTTCTCATAGTTTAAATGGGTGTTATCATCCATACTATACTATATACTATACTTACTATATACTATATATACTATAATATTATAAATCGGAAAGCGAGTTTGTTTGTTTGTTTGTTCCACTTTCGTGCCGTAAATACTAAACCGATTGCTTTGAATTTTTGCAGACGTGAAGTTAGAAGACTGGATTACATAATAGGGTACTTTTTATCCCGGAAAAATTTGATATTCTCGAGGGAAAACGAAATTATGGGTATAGATGGCGCTGTGTGTATTGGTATATGTCACATAGGCTACTTTTTATCCTTTTGTGATGCGAGAGAAGCCGCGGGTAAAAGCTAGTACTTTTATAATAGGTAACTCCGCAATAACATAAAGAAAAAAGATAAAGTGAGTATTGCCAGTATAGTGTAATTTAATGAAAATTAACTCCATATGTTTTTTTACATTTGGACGTATAACTGAAGAATAGTGTAATACAAAAAATGGTGTGTTGCGCTCGTCACTCGCCAGTAGCCATCTACCAACTTAGTATTGGTACACAGTGAAACTGGAGTGACTAAATCTCTAAGACATCACGTACTTTTATTAATTATTCAAGTTTTAGTCGAAACTGTGAGAAAAACCCACATTACAAGCATATGGAGCAACGCGCAGTGGTTTGGAATCTACACTAAAAACATAAAGAGGAAAGGTTTGTTTGTTTAAATTGAATGTCCTACGAAACTACCGGACCGATTTGTAAATTTTTTTACCGCTGGAAAATCCTACTTTATCGATGATGAATAAGAGAGAAAATGGGAGCCGTGTGAAAATTTATTTATTTATTTATTTACTTACTTACATTTACCATTACAGGATGACCCAATGCGATAAATGCGAACTATTTAATCCTGACTTATTGCTTATAACTAATTACAAACAAAGCATCCCTTGTGAATTCACTCAGAGAACAGTAAAATAAATCCGTCTCACTCGCTATGAGGTTGAGCGTGCGGAGCGTACGCGTCAGCGGCGCCTCCTTTAGAAGATTTTCGATAATGTTCCATTTAGATAATGTAACCCGATGTGTGAAAATACTACCAAAACAATCCTTATATTGCTTAAGCCTTTGACTGCTAATAGAAAGCTGTTTTCAAGGACTAATAATAGTATTTAGCTGCATCAGAATCAGAGATTTTAAAGAAAAAATACGAATTCAATTTACTGAATACATTTTATTCATGGACTAGCTTCTGCTCACGGTTTCGCTCGAGCTCCGTTAAAGTATTGAGGGCAGTTTTACAAAAGATAAAAAAGAATTGGTGCCCGATAACAAATATGATACGTCTTATCTTAGGTTTCTTCAAAATTACAAAATGCTCCATACAAGCTTCCACTCCCTTTTTAAGGGAAGTGGTGGATTAGAAAGAAAGAAAATGTCGCCTATGCTACTTCTACTATATCCACTTAATAAAAAAAATTACGTAAATTTCTAACAAAACAAACAGACATACACAAATTTATAATATTATTAAGTATACCTTTCTATGTAAAATAGCCTCTTTGCATACGCAAAGAGGCTATTTTTATTAACCACTGAACCTATTGGATTGAAATTCGGTTCAATGAAAGTTTGAGACACTGGCAGTGGAAAAGAAATCTCACGGGACTACCTATACGTTAAAATTGCGGGATTCTCTATTGCTTAAACCACTGAACCTATTTGACTGCAATTCGGTACAATGATAGTGTGAGACTCAGAAAATGACGCCTGATAATTTTCAACCGCTGTACCTATTTGATTGGAATTCAAATAGAGTTTTAATCACTGAAACCTCACGGGAATGGATACTATACGGATAAATTCCGTGCGGAATTGTTTATTTTTTGAAATAACGAAAAAAACAACATTTCACAATAAATATAAGTAAATTGATTCTGATGAGATTTGTTACACATTATTGCAATTAACCTTGGAGAAGACTAATTAAAAAATCCAAAAATTGCCATAAGTCATTATTATACGCGAACGAAGTCTACCTGCGACTTCGTCCGCTAGTTCGATAGCTAGTCCAGATATAGGTACTTATGTGGGAGCAGTCATTCGGTGACTTTCCCCCCGTAACCCGTCGAGCGTCCGCGTTCCTTATGCATTTCCTTAACCTTATGCATGCAAGAAAATGCATTTATTTGGCCTTTGGCACACGAAAACAAGGATCATTACAATAGAAATAAAACAATTACAGTCAAAATAAAAACAAAACAATAATAATAGAGGTAGATTACATAAAAGAGAAATTAGCATTGAGCATTTTCTCTTATGATCCACCGGGTGCTAATAAGGACGCTCGATAGGTTAAAAAAAAGTCTAGATATATGTAGATAAGTAGGTATATATTATTACTATATTATTTTTATTCCAGGATGTCATGTGCATTCTGTTACTACGGGCTGGTGCTGATGACGACGGAGCTGTTCGAGACAGACCCCAGCGGCCTGGAGGAGCCCTGCGCCGCCGACTGTAGGCCGCTGCAGACCACAGACTACATGGATCTGTTATGGACCACACTCGCTGAGTTTCCCGGTAATATAATAAGGAGCGATCCTTAACTAACCATTTAAGGAATAAAAGTTTATGCCAGGTCAATAAAAGAATGACTACTTTAGTGTAATAGTTTGGGAGGCTAACGAATACATACATTAGTTATTAAAAACAAATCTTCTCTTGTCGTGCCGGCATCGGTAAGGGAACAAAAATTGTATCTCGTTATATATTAGCATACATAGAACATAGTGATGTTAGATACGTTCATATTTACTTATTTATCTTCTTCCCAGGTATATTCGCTACAATATTCATCATTGAAAAGTATGGTCGCAAGAAAACAATGGCTACACAATTCGTTATATTTGCGATGTGCGTCTGTGTTCTAATTTACAATGGAAAGTAAGTAATTCATGTATTAATATTAATTGTAACAAGAGTTACAATGAAATATGTATGTTTTTGACTGACAACTTCATTCGATTTTTAGTTAAAATTATTATCCCTACTAAAGGACACAGATGTTTGTTGACGTTGACGACGACTGTTTCTGTAATGGTTACTGAATCAATATTTTCTGACATAGGTTCATACGAAATTTTTTGGTATACAATATTTCCACAACTTTCTTTTTCGTATTAAATTTTAGTTAGACTACATATTTTAGTTATAAAAGATTTATTTACTTTCAGTCGAACGTTCCTCACATGCGTACTATTTCTCGCTAGAGGCATTATAGCGGGATTATTTCAAGCTGCTTACGTATATACGCCGGAGGTAAGATTTTTTTACAGATTTTCTAGTCAACTAAGATATTTTGTACGCACGACAGTTTGAATTTATTTTTGACTGTGGAACAAATTTTTCAGGTATACCCGACGGCGCTTCGTGCAACGGCAGTGGGCGCGTGCAGTGCAGTCGCGAGACTGGGGGCCATGGTCACACCGTACGTGGCACAGGTACATATTATACACGGTGACTTGTAACTCGACGTATTCCTCTCGGGAGGTGATAATACAAGTCATTTCCTACAAAATTAGCTCAGAGGTCTCTGGTCCGAAAGTGGCTGGTTTCTAAGATATTCAACATTTTCGGTTTTGGTGAAAAAATCCCGAACGAACTACAAAAACATCAATAAATAAAAAAACTGATACCTGGATTACTAAAGAAATTACAGTTGCTTTGCTGATCTTTAGGGGGATTGGGCCTCTGGTAACATCACTCACACTGCAAAACACAGTGAGGCATTCCGGTCGAACCGGCCTATTCGCGACGAAGCATTATATTTACACGTTAAAATTGTAGTTATTGTAACTCTAATAATATTTTTCTATTATTTCAGGTGCTATTAAAGAACTCTATAGTAATCGCAACGAGTGTGTACTCTCTAGTGGCCGTATTAGCGGCCGGCGCGTGCCTCGCACTGCCCATAGAGACCAAAGGCAGAGAAATGAGAGACACAGTCACAGTAACAAACTAGATCAATGTACAGCTGTAGAGATTGTTAAAAATATAAAAATTCTTGAATGTATTTGATATTCAAGTACCTATTTTTATGTCAAATAAATTCAAGTACCTACTTTTATATCTTTAAGTAAGATACTTAATTTAAACTGTGTTAAAAGAATCTCAACGTAATAACTAATGTGCATATGTACTGATTTTAAATAATGTGCCTTCGAAAAATATTGGCAATGTTCGAAATTTGATTCTCATTTTTATATTGCGTTAACGTTTTAAAATTATATTTTGACTACGTGTTCACTGTGTCTTTAGTAAGTCCAGACTTTATTTAAGCTTTTCTACTTACTCTACTTATGTATTCTTTTTTTATCTCTTACTTTTTATCAATATGTTTTTATACAAAGTTGCTAACCTAATTAGTCTTCATGCATCGAATATTGAAAATGCCAATGTAAACTCAATGTGGCAAATTTCCTAAGGGAACAATTTTATATTATCAGATATTTTTATAAATAGTACTTAAGTGAAAATGTACTAATAAGGATTGATATTATTTAAATGCAGTTGCTGAGTGATCCATGTTGATTTTTAGCTGATTTAAACTATGTATAATAGTTACATAACTATTATACATAGTTTCCTTGAGAACATAAATAAAATTGACTACTAATTTAATTAAAAATCGCGGATTACTCACGTGAATATACCAAGAAACGCTCTACTAGTTTCGAACCACAGAGGGGTTCTTCCTCATGAGCAGCGTGCGCGGTCTCCGCGATGTCACGCAGCCTACTTACATCGCGTTACATTGGTATGTCACGATAGTAATTATAAAAACACAACTTAATTTATTTCAATTAACTATAATTATGCTCACAACCAACTTCTGGGCAATATTAAAATGGTGCTGTCATTTAAAGTTAATAAACTTTTAGATTGTAAGTTAAATCAACTTATTATAATACTTCCAAGAGACTGCTATGGAGTAGCTTTTAAAAAACATATTTAATAATGCAGAACGTACTTAAAATACTCAATAATAATGAATACTCAGAATTGTATCTGTCCAGTTTAGGATTAAATATAAAATGTCTTCCACTATTGAATCAGTATTCGGTAGATTGTATAATAAATGTACTAAGTTATAATTGTACGTAATTTTATAATTTGTAACTTTATGCTAGAGCTAGATGATTTAATTCGGAATTTCCGATTCACATAATAAGTGTGATTGCATTCCAATAACAATAATTAATTCCGTCATAATCACGTACTTATCAATCAGATTCCTAATCAAATATGTCCGATAGTTAACATAATCGATCATGACAATGGATCAGCTTCTCACATATATTTACAATAACAACTCATATTTTAAACACCTACATATTTTTCTTCCTAAAATGATATCTTTTTATGAACAAAACAAAACGATTAATTGATCAAACAAAATACTTCCTACATTGGAAAATATAATTATCTCTGCCTTGTTCAAACATTGCGTCTTTGTTGTTCCCAACTTAACATTTATTTTTGTTGTATTATTTCTATAAATGTAGCATTTATTCAGGCTAATTTTATTAAAAATGGCTGTAGCTATTAAATAAGTTAAGGTTGTGACAACATGTACTTAAGCAAATGACCTTAATGACTATAATGAAAATACTTTTGGGACAATTATTGTGTCGTTGAAATTAAGAAAAACCTGCATTACATTATTAAATTTTAAACTTAAAGTTTTACTCAAAGTTTTGTAAACAACCCGAAATTGTAATATCTACATATAATCTCAATATCTACTTTCCTTAGATTTTATGTCATCTACTTATGTTATAAACTTAAATGTAATAATAAGATTCGATGAGAAAAACTAAAAAAATAATATTTTGAATTTTTTAAATTTTATATATTGACAATTTTATAACTAAACAAAGAAAAATAATGCAGCTAACTACCTCTTAAAAGTGACTAAACATTACCTACTATCTATAACCTTTTTGTTGATTTGTGATCAAATATTTAATTTATATAGAAATCGTTTGTTTTATTGTAACTGTGCTTTATGAACAAATATAAAATATAAATTTTATTAAGGATATCAAGTTACTTTTCACTTTAAAATCAGGGTTTGTGGGTACAAATAGAATGAAATATACATATTTGTAAACCTAGTGTGGTAACTAGCTTTTATAGTCATTTACATTCTGTATACTGTAAAGTGCTTATATATCGTTGATCCAATTAATTAATATAAGAATAAAATGTAACTCATGTTCCACAATCCAGACTTATATTAGGATTTATAGATTTTATACAGTGATGTAATCACGGCTATAACACCAAATATATTTATGCTTATTTATATTATGTTAAGTTTTACACGATTTTAATAAATAACTATGCACAATTTGCATTTTTATTTTATAGTTTATCAATGTGTGCACTGTTGCTTACGCCTTCGGGAATATAAGGCGTATTATGTAAGAAAAAAATGTAATATTGTTGAAGGACAAAATAAAAGAGATATATATTAATAATATAAGAATTTAATTAATTTTAGCTATATTGAATAATACTCGCACTCTTAATTATTTTCCATAAGTGTCAGAAGCAAATAAAATTTGGAATCACAGTTTAAATCACACAACTCAAAATATTTCACTATAGCTATATTCAAGTGATCATTCAATGGTAAGCCTAAACATAATAGAATTAAATACCTATGAATACATGCAGTCAGTCAAAATAATGGCGAATCTCTACAGTTAGCCTTCAAACGACATTACAAGGATCATGATATCACATTTCATCAATGTTACTTGGCTAAAACACTCAATAATGCCATGTTTCTTAATGATTATGGGCTAAGATTAATTCAAAACAAAAATAAACTTGACCATCATTATGTTCCACGTAAGGATTTTGACTTCGTTATAAGATTAAAAGTTTAATCCAGTTGAGTTTCAGTAACATAATAATGTGACAATAGACATGGAAATAGATACTGGCATTGATTATTAACATAGAAATAATACACTCAAAATAAACTTAGAATTAAATGAAATACCTTAATTTGGCATGAACTAATACTAAGAACAAAATGATGGTCACACTTATTGCTGGAAAGTCTATAATTGAACCTTACTAAACTATAATAAATATCAAATTTGGCTATTCTCTTTATAGAAATAAACACCCTTTAATTGAACTTCAAAACCTGTTAAATAATTACCTAGCACTATTTTTATGAGTCATATTTTCTTTCATACAATTTCTATGTTAATTACTTATGTTCTAAAACTAGTTATGATGAATAGCTAAACAAGTAAATCTACCAAATGTGGGAACGAAAGTTTTCTACAAACTGTAGATCTATAAGGCTCTGTACATTAAGTATGAACTGCAGCCCAAGTTCTGTTATAATATTTATCCATAGAAATTACATACTAAGTCATCTACAATAATCAGGTGAGCTAATACCCCAAGTTTTTGAGAAAACATTGCACATAGTGCACATTACAATTAATTTTCATTCATATATTGATTTACCTGATAATTAAACACACATACACTTAAAAATTACATTCACAATACAATTATCTTTAGAATGTGTGATGCATAAACATAAATATTATGTATAAACTGAACAATTATTATATTTTATAGATAAAGCATACTCAACATAATACAATTTTAATTATGTAATTTGAACATGCTAGGTAGAAAGTTTCAGTTATAAAGCTTTTGTCAGCATATTTATAATGCTGTTGTTATTGAGATCAATAAGTTAAAGACTTGCAAGAATATTGAATTGAAATTATAAATATATTATTCAGCAAATAGTGTATATGGATTACTGAAATTGTAATATTACATTTTTTAATCTCATCAATCATAATATGAATATTTAACCAAATAACTCAATAGGGTTTACAGATACTGTAACAAAACTGAACTTTTAACATCATAATATACAGCATAGTCTCTCCAAACAAATATTGGACTCACAAAGAGTCAATAAATTCTTACTGTTAATTAGTACAAAAAGAAAATAACCATCATTTGATAACTTAAAAATATTTCAAAATCTTATTATTATGATACGGTGGGAAATCACTATTATAATATGACGTGCCTACTAAAATATGACAAGAAATGGAAAAGCTTATAATATTTACAGAATTATTAAACACCCTAATAATAACATGTCTCAAATATACATTATATTCATAGAAATACTTTATATAAATTAAGAATGATCATTAAATTTCATTTTCAAATCTTCAAACTATTTGTATTTAGTTGTTAAACAGCTTGAAATATGGTTTAAGTTATTAAGTAAAAATATAAATATAAGGATATTTAAATCTAAATCATATAATCTATCCACTATATTTAAAGCTGCCTTAATGTGATCAGTAACATAGGTGTGATAATGACGTAGGATACAATTAATCAGGTTAACATGTCGAAATTAACAAGGGCATAAATGTTTGTACTAAACAAGTCTGATCTGTATTCAATCATCGTCTAGTTCTATAACAATTGGTTCAACATTTTCTGTTGCCTTTGTATACTCTTGCCTCAGTTGTGCTAATAAACCACACTTTGGTATTTTAAGTTCCTCAGCTTCATCTATTAAAACTTTAAGCTTCTGTAGCCGCCCAATGTCCGGAGCAGTAGGAAGTAGAATGTTCTTTGTTTCAGTCATCCACTTGTCAAAACTATTGACTCTAAAATCTATAGTTTGCAACATGATATGCAGTTCATCCATATCATATCGGAAGTTTAATGTCTTCTTCTCCATGGGGCATTGACATAAATCATCTGCATGTTGCAAACACACCATATGTTTACAATCCATGCAAGACATAGAAGATAAGAAACATGTTGTTTTACACACTTCGCAAAGTCTTTCATCATCACCTAACAGCTCAAATGCAGTTCTATGTGTTCTTGTAAGACCTTTTTTCAACATTTTAGCTCTCAATGAACCTTCTTCAGCAGTAGCCTTCACTAATTCTTTTTGTGTTTCCAGAGCTGTTTCCAAATCTAACCGATCTCCTTCTAAGGCCATTTTACAAATAAGTTCATCATGGGAAAAGACACAGAAACGCTTTAGATTTTTATAATGTGTTATACACTCACGTCCAATCTTTAACCAGTCAGGAGGTGCAAAATTGACAGCTTCGGCAAAATTGTATCCTTGATTAAAACCTGCATGATATGCCCTGGGAAAGGTGACTACAAACTCTCCAGCATGTTGATCAGTTCTATAAATTGGTACACCAGCAGCCATTAAAATATTTGGATTCATAATTGTTACTAGTTGATGTAACAAATCTGGCTGTGATTTGAAAAGTTCAGGAGCTGCTGCCTTCATAGCCGTTTCCAATAACTCTGCTCCGCTACCTGGTACTCCATACCAAGTTTTAGCCTCACCCCAATGTAAATAATTAATGGAGTAGCTCCAATGATCTTCATTATGCCAGCAAAATGCAGAAAAGCACATTCCAACATACATCCATGGTACAGTCATACCAGATATATCTGCATTTATAAATCTTAACACAGAGCCATCCAGAACAGGTAAATTGTTTAGATTCCATCCTGAATCTACATATTCTTGGTCACCAGGATAAAGATTTATTGAAGATTTTGTAGGAAACCCAGACCCATGGTCCATGGAATGTAAATCTGCACCATACTCTACAGTTACATCTTCCTCCACTGATGAAATAATTCTCCAAAATTCTTTTTCAGCTACTGTTGTTGGTACTAGATGACCAGACATAGCAAAGTAATCCGATTTAAATTTGTCTGCCATTTCCCCAAACTGTTGCAAAGTATATTCTCTTTCTGCCTGAGCAAAGCCAAATGCTTCAGCAGGCTTGTGAACTTCTTCAGCAATACAACAAGGACAACGCCAATCCCCATCTGGTACGGCATTCAGTGGTGGCCTCAAACAAAATGTATGATAGGTATCAGAACATCCATTACAAATCAAAAGCAGATCATCTCTATTGTCTTTCTGGCAAATAGCACATTGGTACACTGCTAGTGGATCAAGATCATATCGAGGTCGCTTTCTAGATTTTGTAATATCAAATTCTTCATCGTTTAATCCAGGCATTTTTGGCCCAGGCCCATAACAAGCTAACCTTCTTAATTCTCTGTTTGGTGTCACTTTTTCGATATCTATTTTATTCTTAAAGTTGTCCACATCTTGTTTAATATCAGATCCTGTCTTTGTTTTCTTAATACTTGTATGAGGTTTCTCTTCCTTAAATTCATAGTCTGTTTTCATTTTAGTTATTCTTTCTATTGGTACTTCTGTTATTTGAGGCTTACCTACTTCATCTTCCTTTATTTCAATTTTGGGTTCAGTCTTTTTGACAGTTTTCAATATATCTGCTTTACTTTTCTCAAAAATTTCGTAAGGAAGCAGGATTTTTTCATAATTGCTTCTTAAAAAAGCCAATGTATTCGCATGAAAACTGTAACCCATGGCGTTAGCAATTTTACGCCATTTTTTTGGATTGTTACATGCCTCAAAGCCGCCTTCCTCATCGACCCAAAATTTTAGACAATACAAATCTAATGATTTGTTTTCAATCATAGGAATTTTTAACGGAGATCCTTGAAGTTCCCAAAATTTTAAAATTTTTTCGAGGAATATAAGTTTGAGGCGCGTTATAGCTTCTAACTCGTTTACTTTTTGTATCCTAGGAACAAATTTTAATTTGTCCACATCTAATGAAAATGGTGGCTGCCAGCGCGATGGAGGCTTTATTTTGCAAATGCCTGTCCTCTCCGCGACTGGACGAATTTTTGCTATATATCCGAGAGGATCTAAAAACTCTTCGGGCGTCGGTTCAAACACGGGTGCTTCAGGAGGTGGAGTGAAAGTAAATTCTGCACTTTTGTGCATGGCATTCTTTTGTATATTCTTGCTATCCATTTTCACTGAGTACCAATGCACCACGCTTAATTATATCTCAAAACTATAGTCTCTTACGAAAGTACATGAAACATTTCAATCGGAGTAAAAGTCTACGTGACTTCTCGCCATGTGTAAATGGCTCCTAAAATTTTGAGATAGTAAAATTCACTAGTACACTGCCATTTGTATTCCGCATTAGTACGAGACGATTAGTTACAAAATCGTTCAACACTGCTTGACTTAAACACAAAACCCGAAAGTATATATAATATTGAAACAAAATTACTTATCGATTAAACGATTTTCGTTTACAATAGCGTATCGGGCCAGCCACTATATCACATTCAGCCAGCTACTTGATAACTCACTCGACTCGACCACGGCGGTTCGTTCATTGATGAAGCCTCGTTCAAACGCCGCAGCTCGCTCGTCAAAAAATAACACGCACACATTTATGCGATAAAATACTATCGTTGACTTGCTCTTCGGCTCTTCCTCAATCTCATTGGTTATTTTGTCGGGATGCTTGCATGCTTTCGGTAGGGTAGTGTGGGTGATGTGTATACAGATTGAAACATTGAATTTGGTGTCCTTTTCTAATACTTTTAACATTAAGTGATGGAGATAGGAGACTCAGAAGTCAGAATTGTGCTCAAAATAGAACATGATGATTAAAATTATTAGTTTTACTTAAATTAAGCTTAATTTATTATATTTTATTCTGTCTGTAAGTCCAGAAATCTAGACAAACTAAAGAGGCAAAGTATACCTAACTATACCTAAATTTACCTAATACTGCGACAGCCATTGAGTTAAATCTTTATAGAAGCGATCTCTATTACCGCTCGTCAAAAATATAGAGCCTTTTTTGACACATTCCAAAGAAACAATGTCTCTCTCACTCGCTCAAGTCGCAACAACCGAAGATTAGACAGAGACAGAAATATAAACATTGCCATGTCAGGGACTGTTGCCTGACACGTAAAACATACAAAAAATATTTTCAACCATTAAAAAATATTAGGTGTAAATTGTGTAGTACCTAGCTTTTTTTAAATTCGATAAAAGGTTTATGTACGTATGTATACACAGTGCCAAGCACGAATAACTATCGCATTCGTAACGTAATAGTATCGAGCGCGCTCGGCGCTCTGATTGGCCGGCTCAAGTGAACCAACCAATCAGAACGCTTAACTCGCTCGATACTGTTACGATACGAATGCGATAGTTATTCGTGCTTGGCATAGAGTAAAATAATATATCGGGTAGTGCTTGGCCCTCTGGTCATTACAGGTGTCCCGTTAGTCGACGGTCAATTGACACTAGATAACCGGCAAGATTCCAACAGTTATCATAAAAATATAAAAAATCCAAGTCATACAGTTTACCTACAATGACTTATGTGTTATCCATGAAGACAGTACACTTGTATTTTGACCCTTGCTGCTAGAATACAACGTTATCCTGAATAGTGCTCCAGTATTATAAAATCATAAATTCTAAGCAAACAGTTTTAGGTAAAAAATGATGATTTTAAACAAACCAATTATTGTTATTTTTTTTCTAGAATCTAAGTGTACGTTTACAAAATTCACCAAAGTTTGCGCATTTACTAAGGATTCTAAAATAGTATGCGACTCCCTACATTCTTCTTAAATTTTGACACAAAAATATATACAATACCAACGAAACTCCGTTTCGAGAAATGGCTTATCAGTAAGTAAATATTATTAATAGTAATAATTTAAAAGCATATTTCTATTTTATTATTTATTTACATTAGCATCACTACATAGTATAAAACAAAGTCACTATATATTTTCTACACCTCTGTATATATACAGTAAAATAGTTGATAATAATTATATGTTCACTAACCCAAGTGTTTTGTCCTTTCAGCTACTAACAACTAAAAACTACCACAAAGTTAATTTCGACGGTTCATTAAACTACCGTCACCACTGGACACTGGCAGTATAGTCGACAAGATCATTTTGGAGACTCGTTTGCCAAAGAGGGGGGAAAAAAAGTCACTATGCGCCGTCTGTCTGTCCCTATGTTTGCTTAGATCTTTAAAACTACGTAACTGATTTTGATGCGATTTTTCTAATAGATAGTGATTATTAAGGAAGGTAAGTTATACCCTGGACTCTCAAACATATTATATCTATATATATATTATATCTCATACATTATTTATATATTATATACATATTTATATATTATATAAAATTTTACAACTCTAGATGTATATACGTGGCGTACTCATGCATATTATGACGATAACAACTTTTATAACTTTTAGAATCGTTATATCTCAGAAACGGTGGCTCGTAAGAAAAAAAGTATTGATACATTTTTTATAGATAATTCTATGATCTACATTTTTGTGTGAGGTACTTTTATGATAAAACTTACCGTTTTGCTGAAAATCGCGAAAATCTCATTTTTTGTCCTTGAATTAAATTTTTTCCTTACAGGGGAATGATGGGGAACTTCTAGACATTGTTTATAATTATGTTTTGAACAACTTCACAAAAAATCAGCTTGTTGGGACTTTATGTAACTTCGAATGTCTAAATTGACCGGACTAAGAACAGATTAATAAATGTTCAAATTTTGATTTTTTATTTAAACATATTAAACTTTGTTAATTCTAAAAAAAATCTTGTTAAAAATTCGTTAAATATTATGCAGATTTTATTTATGTACACTTTATATTTTTTTGCTGCTGACTGCCTCGTTGGCAAGTGCGACTGCCGGACAAGGGGTCTCGGGTTCGATTCCCGGGTCGGGCAAAGTATTACTGGGTTTTTAAAACTATCAGTAGTAGCACGGAGTCTGGAAATGTGCCCAGTATATGGCAATAGGCTCACCCCCTATTACATGGGACTCATAACATAAATAGTGAAAAGTGGGTGTTACTTCTATGTGCACCTCTGCCTACCCCTTCGGGGATAAAAGGCGTGATGTTATGTTTATGTGTTTATATTTTTTTTACTGTTGTCAGATCCCCTCGAGGCTTGTCATTTTTTTGCATGGTGATTCGACTTTATAATGTCTATCTCAATGGCTACAGCACGATACGATAGGTAGCGCAAAAATAATACAGTCGCTACCACTGTTGTAATCAGTGATGGCCGTGTAAGTACGTATTCATAAGTGAGACTACATACTGCATACATGGCATAGGTGCCGTATTAGTAGTACATAATAATAATTACCTTCTTATTTATTAACGACATATAAGTAGGTACTTGCACGGATTTAGTGGTTCAATAAATATTAAAAACAAAGTAAACTACATAGTTTACTTTATTTTTAATAATGCAACCTACATAGGTTGCAACCTACTTATTCAATTACCTAATTTACTACTAAGAGAAAACATTATCACCTAAGATCTAACTACCTTCCATTTTGATAGCTAGGTTAAAAATACTGATAAATACATAATAAACTCTCATTCATTTCATGTGTGTGTTAGAAAATAAGTTGACCAAAGAATGTCCGAAGGGTTGAAAATACGTTTCATTATGTACGCCTTTCAATATATTTATTTATCGGTACTCGGTAGGTACCTACTTAGATGTTAAATAAATTACCTATATTATTAATTATATCATTAATTAATATTTTTTTATATATGATCTAGCTGACCCGGTAAACTTAGTACCGCCTTAAAAATTTTTTACCCGACTATTTTCTCACTTTTTAAACCTTCTCTGGACTTCCACAAATATTTCAAGACCAATATTAGTCCAATCGGTTCAGCCATTCTCAAGTTTTAGCGACACTAACGAACGGAAATTAATTTTTATTTAAATAGATTTGATGGGCTGATGTTGTACTCCAAGCTATATATGATATAAAAAGTATTAGTATTTCAGAACATTACTGGATCAATAATTCTATTTTTATATTTGTTGCCAGCTTACGACTGCACAACATACAGCGCACGCTTCGCTTACCAAAAAATATTTCATCTTTATCTACATATATATCTACTCTAAAAGCTGAAGAGTTTGTTTGTTTGCTTGAACGAGCTAGTTCTCAGAATGGTCCGAATTATAATCATATTTTAACATAACATAACATCACGCCTTTTTATCCTTGAAGAGGGCAGAGGTGCACATTACGGCACTTAATGCCACTGTACAATGTAACACCCACTTTTCACTATTTATGTTATGAGTCCCATGTAATAGGGGGTGAGCCTATAGCCATATACCGGGCACAATTCCAGACTCCATATTTTATTTAATAATTATGTTGGATAGTGCATTTGTCGAGGATGGTTTTAAATTATAAAATATCACGCTATAACCAGAAGGAGCTGAGCAGCGGTTGATATATCGCGGGAGTCTAGTTTAGTCTAGTTTTACAATAATTCACCATGATATAATATTTGGTGAACAAGTTATGTAATCATTATATGAAACTAGCTTCCCAACCACGGCTTTTACTCACGTATTCGTGTTTTATCCCATGAGAGCATTTAATCGGGATAAAAAGTATCCTATCATGTAAGTCAGCCCTGCATGTATACCTATTTACCTGTAAATTTCATCAAAATCCGTTCAGTTTGATTGACGGACGCACAAATATCCAAACAAAGAAACCTTCACATTTATATTTATAATTAGTTTGATATGTAACAAAAATAATAAAATTTGTAACGGTAACGGTTCCACATAATAGTTATTGGTGTAACAGTTACATATAATATTAATTGTGTAACGGTTACATATAACAACTCAGATTTGTAATGAAAAGTAGCAACTTGTTTTATAATAACTATAATGAGACATACGTACTGAATAAACCAAAAATTACGATTTACTAATATGTGCGGTCGCGGCTATGTCTATGTCGTATGCTGCTCATGAGGAAGAGTCCCTCACAAGTATTCGCATAAAACAAACGCAAACAAGTTGTTAAAACAAAAGCTATATAAAACTGTAATTTTTTTTAATTTAACAATATAAGACCGAAGTATTTACATAATTTTACTATTAAAATAATATTAGTAATTATTTAGTCGTAGATTCTGTCAACACTAAAATGTCAAAGGTATGGACGGATGACTAGGGATGCGATTCTTACCGAAAAAAACCGATTTTTAAATCGATTCGAATCATGACCTGGTGATTCGATCCACAAAAAATCGAGTTCTAAAAGATCGATTTCCAAAAAATCGATCTTTTTTAAACTGTCAAACACCAAGCGGTCACCGGTGACCGCGACCTATTGTTCTTTAATTGTGTCTATAAAACCGGTACTCGACGAGTTAAATTAGTTTTTACAATATTCATCATCAACAGCCTATAAATGCCCACTGCTGAGCAAAGCCTCTTCTCACATGGAGAAGGTTAGAGCATTAATCACCACGCTTGCTCAATGCGGGTTGGCGATTTCAAACTTATAATTAGAAATTATAAGTCCAGGTTTCCTCACGATGTTTTTCCTTCACCGTTTGTCAGTGGTGTCTAAATAATCTTAGAAAGTATATATAACTCGGAAAAAGTCACATTGGTACTTGCCGTTGGTAGGTTTCGAACCCGCACCCTCATGCATGAGAAGTGGGCGTCTTAAACCTCCGGGCCACCACGACATACAACGATTTACAATATTAATATAAATCAAATTTATAAAAACTTAAGAAATATTAGAATTAACGATCTTTTAATCAGTATTATCAAAATTCGATATTATTAAATTATTTTTATTACCTTGTATTTTTACTACTTGATAATGCAATGTCAAATCAATTACAGTATGAACAGTACAGTTACAATAAGTAAAAAATTATAAAAGTATTTTTTTATATTGATGAGAAGTGAGGCGAAGGAGACTAAACACAGCCATCTCACGAGATTTGGAGTATTAACCGGCAGCACTCTTGTAATACGAGTCTTAAACTAATTGTATGGTTTATGGAAGACAGAAAAAACGTACCTTGATCTTAATGTCTGAGATCAATTCACGAGAATGATGTCAAAAATCGATTTTTTTCAGATCGTCATCCCTACGGATGACAAATTCAAATTGATTGACAGACAAGATAGGCAGGCACTAGACTAGACGTCAAAAAATATAATATAACCTCAATTAGAGTACCTATGAGGATTTTCTTGTTCAGTTCATCAGTGATTAGATTTTATTATTGTAATAATATAGGAAAATGTTAAATTCGTTTCGTAGTGTTTGGGCTGCAAATATACAGCTTCAGCAGATAAGATGTGCGCACAGAATAAGAGGCAAAGCCCCTATATTCTGTCGTACAATAAAAGAACGTTTAGATGAATTAAACTATAAAGATGAAATATACACAACAAGAGTTGATATTGGTTTACCTCAAATGAAGTGAGTGTGTTTACTATTCAAAGTCAAAGTCAAGTCAAAATCATTTATTTCAATTAGGCCAGAATGGCACTTTTGAACGTCAACAAAAACAAAAATTTAAAGTGAAGCTATTTATTGTAGTTTATTGTAGTTGAAATAATAGTGTAATATATTCCCTAAAACAGTAATTATTTATTGGCATATCCTTACTTGGCACTTATAATCTTAAGGCGTCTGTACAAATTAGGCCTAAGTTTTAGGCCAGTATATTGGACCAACATGCAGAAACTTACGTAGTAAGTATATTGGCCGACCAAGCGAATGTTGTCCTTCGTGTAGTACATCACACGGCACATCAAAGATTCTTGGCATATTTCGCAAACGGCATTCATACGTTAGCATCTCTTTCAGTTTGTTGTCATTTGTCAGTAAAGATGACGAACGAACACTGAGTCTATACCGTGTCGGGCAATGATGACTGATACCACCAGAGTATTAACATTTAACAGTTTTTGTTGGCAGTTAACTATAAATTTTTTAATTATTAAGAAATTAATCTATTTTGGCCCAACACGCTGACCCAATCCTTGGCTAATGTGTACAACCTTTAACTAAGTACCTTTAATTGTATTATTATTTAAAAGGTATAATTTCTAACATAAACTTTTTTGATTTAAGAAAATTGACAGAAAGTAGTCGTCAATCCAGATTGGAACATTTAAAAAAAATAAAAGCTGATAAGAATTTGGAACAATTGGCACGTAATCATACATTACAAATCGATCTAAATGAAGCTAAAAAAGAGTGGCTGAATACTTTGGGGCCACAGCACAAGAAGCAGATAGCTGATCATTATGGCATATTTGAACATCTGTACGGAGAAGGATACTTTATACCGCACTTGAATTTGGAAGTGTTGTATGATTTGAAAAATGGTTCTTACCTACCTGTTTGCACTGGAAATGACATAAAGCCTGCAGAGGCACTTGAATATCCAATAGTTAACTATGAAACTGACCCTGACAGTTTATGGACACTGGCTCTTACTAGTCTAGATGGCCATTTAACAGAGGGTGATAAAGAGTATGTGCATTGGCTTGTGGCTAATATTCCTGGAAACTCTATTGAGAAAGGAGATACTATTGTGGAGTACCTGCAGCCAATACCATTGAAGGGCACTGGATATCACAGATATGCATATGTGCTTTACAAACAAGATGGAAATATAACTTATGATATAACAAAAGGTACATTTTTGTGGCTAGGAGCATTAAAATTGTAATTTACTAAACAAAGTTAGTGCCATCTTTATAATAAATTTTAATTGAATATTTTCAGTGACTGCAACATCGCCTTTAAAAGACAGGACATTTGTGACAAGGGAATGGTATCAAAAGTACCAAGAGAACATCACTCCTGCAGGACTAGCTTTTTTCCAAACCAATTGGGATATATCTGTGAGGGATTTCTTCCACAAAGTGTTGGATACTAAAGAACCAGGTAAGGCAACAATAAATATGATTTGTCAAGTTATTTTTAATATGTATTCATTAATTTCATTATTCTCTACTGTTCCAGTTTATGAGTATGACTTCCCCAAACCCTACTTAAGGCCACAAGAATGGTTTCCCCGCAGGAAAGCATTTAATTTGTACATGGACAAGTACAGAGATCCAAAGCAAATCAACAAAGAGTATCTATTGCGCAAGCTAAAGGATGAGGACCCCTTTAAGGCACCACCACCACCACTCAAGTTCCCCAATGCCCAACCCTTCCCTAAGAACATGCCTTCATGGTTGAGATTGCATGAAAAGAAGATAAGGTTGGGATGGGGTAGAGTTAATGATGTGTAATGTTAAGATTTAAATAAATATTAGTTAAATAGTGCTTATGTACTGCTCTTTTATTTATTGAAATGTCTATTAGTACTACCGAAATCTATTTTTCAGTGTGTCTTCTACCTGTCTCACTTATTTATAATGCTACTAGCGGACCCGACATACGTTGTCCTGTATATCCACTTGAATGTATAAACAAAAATTCATGCAAATTAGTTAAGCCGTTTAGGATAACTAACCTAGACCCCGACTGCAGCGCCATCTGCCGGGCTGATTTGGGAATTAAACCATCCAGGGTGAACGCGTACAGAATTCATTTAAATCGGTCAAGCCGTTTAGTAGTTCAATGATATACACACGACACTCCCTCCCGCCTCACTCAGGCGGGAGCAGTCATTCGATGATTTTCCCAAAAAAAAGGTTGGGATCGGGGCGAAATTTGGAAAAGGGGTAGGTGGACTGGTGGATTATGGTCAGGACTAACACATGCAACTTTTTGTCTCAGGGGACCGCTGGCAGAAGTTAGTTCTAACATAAAAAATATCTTTTTGCTTTATTCAATTAACAGGATTTGGGCAGTTTATTATTAGAGCTGTGCAGCATTTTGTGGTTATAGTAATTATAAACTTAGATATTTTTATTAAGATAAAAACAAGGCCTGTTGTGTACGTACTTTTATTAAAATAAAAAAATATCTTAAATGAGACAAAATTTCTTAATGGTTGTAACGAAATCAATAAATTTGGTTCTTCTCTGAATTCTAGTAGGTACTTAGATTAGAAATCCTACACCTAGAAAATTATAAGCAGTCCCAGTCCTTATCATGTCCGTTAATGTATTTTAAATGTTGATGAACAGAAAAATTTGGAAACACTGAAAAAATATACAATCCAAAAAAATTACTAAGAATTTCAAAATAAAAATTTAATTTTGGTTAAGAAAATACATAATATGGCAAAACGAAAATTTATATATCTAGTTACAATAAATGCAGTGAAAGTAAAAGCTTATCGTAATTACACATAGACAAGTGAATATAAAACTTGTAGTTATAATTATTGCAAATAGTAATAGCAACTACAGCCTTGTTCTACAGAGTTCGTTCTTATAGACCAATAATATATTTTTTATTACTAAAAATTTGTATTACTTGATAATTATATTGTTGTAGCAATTGAGTAACAAGCACCTGTTATACACTCTATAAACATTTTCCAAATATCTAATTGTAAATGAACATTGCAAAAGTGGACATTGTATGAAATACAATTACTTTTAGTGCTACAAATATACACATGGGTTTGTTTCGACAACGTTGTGTTAATTATAGTACCCACTCCATATTATAAATATGTTACAAAGTACTTTAGATACCTAGTCAATTTGCAACTTTGATCGCTAATTTGATACCAAATATTGCATATAGTTTGGTGCAAACTAGTCAAGACCAACATCGTCGTCTGTGGGGGCTTTTGGTCCGCCCGCTCCAGGTGCTGCGCCGCCAAAACCTATAAAATAGAATACAAAAATTTTTTAAAGTTTAGTTTTCAACCTTTTATTTCACACAATAAGCAAAAGGTTTCCATTTAGATTATTGTATTTACCTGGAAAGCCACCAGGTCCACCTTTGCCTAGTTTGGATTGTAGTTTCTCTATAACAGCGGCGATTTTAGGATTATTTTGATACTTCACAAAGTTAGCTGGGTTGGACGAAACATCTTGGAATGCAGCAGCCACTTCAGGGTCCTGTAGACAGATATATATTTTAGTTAAACACAAACAATACTAATTTGAAAAGAAAACTACTTTCAAAAAACACTTTACATAAAAGATTGGATTATTTATTACCTGGAACGCTGCCATGATTTCCTGGTCAAAGAGCAGGTTGCTGAAGTCCTGTGGATTTAACCCGGCAGGGAAACCACCTGCGCCTCCTGCTCCTGGGAACCCACCAGCTCCTGGGAAACCACCGGCTCCCGGGAAGCCACCAGATCCTGGGAAACCACCGGTAGGTGGTGCGCGGGCGTTAGCTTCAGCTTGTGCACGTGCTGCGCGAGCTCTAGCTTCCTGCGCCTTACGAGCTCTGCGCAACTTTTCACGGTGCTGAAATTAAACATTTAAGTGTATCATTTAGTATTTTCTCTTATCAGACAGCTGACATAACAAGTAGTATGAGGTCGTGAGTGCGATCTCTTGTGGTGGATAAACACGTCACTATTGATTTTTGAACATTATGTGAGCTATGCACTTGATCTGTTTGCACTTGCACTTCTAAAAGATACATATGAAGGAATACAGGTTATAATAAATCGTAAAGGATGGGTGTATTTAGTTTGCAATTTCATTATACCTCTCTTTCTTCCTTCTTGCGTTGAACACTAAGTTTGTGTTGACGTAGTTTCTCAGCATTAGGCTTGACTTCAGTAAGCCATTCATTAGTTTGGTCATCATAGTCAATTTTGAGAGATTCACAGAGATCGTGAGAAGCTTCCTCGAACTTGCCTAGTAACCTGTAAACAAAATTTAACAGGTTATACTTTTTTGTTTTTAATTCATACTATTATTATTACTACCTGTTCATAAAATATTCTCAATTTTCAGTGTCAGTACCAAAATGCATGAAAATAGATCATGTAAAAGCGAAGGGTCAATGAAATGAAATTATTCTCACACATAGGATTTTATAGGATAACAAGTAGGAACATACAAATGGGAATACTTGCCTCATCAAGTTTACAATTATGCACTTCTGTATACTTAGAGAAATATAGAAGTGATGTGAAGTAAATAAGTATACTATAAATGATTATTTTACTATATTCCAACCTGTAAGCTCGCCCACGGAACTTGTATGCAGCAGCACTGTCACAGTTGAGTTCAAGCGCGCGCGTGCAGTCTTTGATGCAAGCATTGGGTTTGTTCATCTTTAGGTAGATCTACAGAAAAATTATTGGTCACAAAGAATGTAAATACTTTTAATAACTTTAAAAATATTTCATTGTAAATGAAATAAAGTTCTGTAACAATGTCAATGCCAATAAAAAGTACCAACTTTGAAATATTGTATTCCATTGAAATATAGAAAACATAATTTATATTTTAAGTTATGATATTTTATGTCCATTTCAATATTCATTGATAATAATCCATACCTGTCCTCGTTTGGCAAACAGTAAAGCACTCTGCGGATTGAGTTGTATAGCTTCATTGTACAGTTTGATGGCTTCATCATATTGTTGCTCGGAGAAAGCCCTCATTGCCTCAGACCTCTTTTCATCAGACTGGTCTCTTTCCTCATCTGTCACCTCTTTTGTTCCATCTCCCATTATTTGAGTATCATCTACTTTATCTGCCTCTATGACACCTGTGTGAAATAAAAGTAATGGCTAAAACAAATTTGTATGACAAATTTTGTAGTGAAGATTAGGAAGTTATATTAAAATAAAAAATCTATGGTTAAAGACCTAAAGCTAAATAAAAACTGTCAAACACTGGGAGAACACCGGTGACCGCAACCTATTGTTCCTTAATTGTGTCTATAATCACGGTACTCAAAGGGTTAAAGGTATAAGTAAGTAAGTATACACTTACATACATTTTCACAAAACCAAAGGAGGTTTAGTGAAATTTATTCTCATATAATACAACTCGTAACTAGCAACTCAACCTACATAATTATAATAATTATAAGTACTTAATATAATTCAAATAATTTCCATTGTTATCACATTTATTATTCCTCATTGTTTTTATAAATACCAATTATTTTGGCCCATATACATTTTTATGCCACAGTACATTGATAATGTAGTGATTTTGGTCAAACTAGTTAATAAAACAATTAAAAATATATGTACCATGAGATGAATTTCATTATGAGAACCTGTTTTAGCAAAGTAATAGTACTAGATTATTGTAAATGTTTCCAGCATATAAAAATGAGGATAATTTCAAATTTGACATATATAACAATAAGTACACCAATTCTAATATATATTTTTTATTCCTGGACAATTTTCAAGCCAATGACTCGTGCATATTATTAGTAATGGCAGTTTGTGTTAATGTGTGAATTAAATTATAGTTGTAAATTAACTTGTAACTTAGTTGGTTTGATTGTATACATAATGTTACAAAATTATTATCAAATCTCATGGTGACCTATGACTTAGTTTCATAAAGACTGGACTCATTTACCTTGCCAAAATTAGCAGATCTGTCATCTGCTGCTCATGAATGCAGTATGTTAAATTTTAAAATATTGATATACTTATTGAATGAATAACATTTATCAAGACTTACTTTTTATCTCAAGATAATAATTGAATAAATAATATTTGTAAACTCACCTTCCATATCCAATTCCACATCAGATTCAGCGTCAGACTCCTCCCCAGATGACACTGTGGCTGTTTCTTCAGCATTGTTGTTAGCAGAGAAGCTGAAACTAAAATTGAAATTGTGACTAACAAGAAAGAAATACAGAAGCACTAATTTTAATCTACAGACAATAAGGATTATATACCTAAAGTTGTGTTAGAATTTAGGTACATAATAATACAATGTTACAGCTAAATTTTTATAGATGATTTCAAAAGCAACTTGGACTTTGATGGTAATAATTTGTATTTTGATATTGAAATATTTATGTTACTATTAATACCGAAGCGCTGGTTTTAATTACTTACGTATCCCCAGACGGTGTGAAGTTCTTAGCACTAGGTGTCGGCCCAGGAATAGTAACCCCCAGAGAAGACAAGTATTCTTTGAAAAAACTTAATTTTGGGTGATGAATAATCTGCGGTTCTCCTTTACAATACTCGACGAATGCTTTCAACTGATTCAGTTGCTCCTCGTTGAATGGACAATTCATTTTGACTATCACTGATAAAGCTGCCGGCAAAATGAATAATTAACTCAGATGTACTATCACAAATGTGTCTATATCGATGTACAACAAATTCAAATAAATGCAATATGTAGTAAGAATATCGTTGCGTATAGTAAAATCACAAGAATTTGCTCACTTTCTAATTAAATGCAAGAATACTGCACTGCACCGCAGTAAAACAAATAAATTGACACTTACACTTTGTGACTTCGTCGGATAGGTAGGTACGGAATTTTCTCGCTTCTTCTATAACCAGTCAAGCACAGATAATAAAGTATGGAATACCATAAACAAAAAATATTTTTATAAATTTGAATAAAATCTCGTATTGGCACAAACTTAATTGATTGTTTACTTTATTCATCTGTAATCAAATTGATATTATGCTTGTTTCAATTTATAAATATGGAAAATATAGCTGTCTATCGGAACAGCAAAGGTATAACCGGTAAGTAGTAATTCCAGGAATTTGTACGTTTCTATAATATCGTCATAGATGGCAGCATTGGTATCATTGGATTTAAAGTAGAATGTTATTAAAGTATACGTAATAAAACCTTGTAATCCCAATAAAATAGAATGAATATTAAATCTAACAGATCCTCGATATAAATCCCTAATAATAAAATTGATAAATATTATTAAATATAATATAATTTTTAAATATTATTTTTATCTTTGTAAGTAGTATTTAAAAATGTATTTTATAGAGAATTTAAAATAAATATATGGAAATTGATAAAGACCCCACGCATTATTTTTTTGCTTGCATGAGAAATCCTGAGTGCTTAAATTGGTAGATAGTCATAACATTTTTGTACCTATACTAATTTATTTTTTCCTTATACATAAATATAATATAGAATAATAATAGAGGTTTTGTTTAAATCCCTACCTAATACTAGGAAAAGCATCATAGGAACGTTAGAATTAAGAATGTTGGAATAGCCTCGTGTGTTAGTCCGACCTCTTTTTTTTTTCGATCTAGCCGGGAAGTACTCGTTCTTTATGCCACATAGCTTTTTAAATGAATGGTATTATTAGGGTACATTTACCGGTTGTTGGGCACTGGTACTGGTATAATTAACGTCGCACGATTTATTCCTATTCTGTATTGGGGAGTGTAATTAACACACTTCTGGTAAATATCTATGTACTTAAGTATTTTACAGATATTTTTTTTTCTATAAGGGGGGAAAATCATCGAATGACTTCTTCCGCCTGGGTGAGGCGGGAGGGAGTGTCAGACTCTTACTGACTAAAAACCACCCGGTTCCTTCTCCTGCACTTCGAGCCTGAGCCTCGGTAACCCGTTAGGTTCTCCGCGACTCCGAATCGGAATCAGCCCTATTGGGCCCTATCCGTGGTGGTCTGATGACTCTTTGAGGCGAGCGCGGAATGCGACGCGCCGTACGCTCGGGTATGGTTCTGGTCAGGCGGCGAGTCACTCATGCTCGCCGTCCCGCAATCCCCGACGCTCGGAGTGTCCTTCGCGATGGCTGGGTTGCGAGGAGGTTGATCACGTCCCTGAGGCCACGGCGGTGCTCAGCCCACGCAGAGCATTCCGCTACAGTGTGTTCCACCGTGTCCTCAAGGCGGTCCTCGCAGTGATGACACCCGAGCGTTTCCTCCCGCCCCATCAGACACAGGTACCTCCCGAAACTTCCATGTCCGGTGAGGACCTGCGTCAGGCGGTAGGTGAGGACGCCGTAGCGTCTCTCAAGCCACTCCTCAAAGAGGAGACTAACCGTTGCAATGGCAGCGAGCCATTTCATCATCATCATCGCGATTTTACAGATACTACCTATAGTATTTTACCAGATCTATTAATTAGTCTTGACCTTAATTCATGCTTAAGTATGTACATACCTAAGTGTTTGGTGGGACCAAGACTATTTCTTATATTTAAATGGGCATCTACCAAGTGTTGTTATACGCTGTTGTTTCTTTGTGTTTTTTTTCTACATTTGTATAAATAAATGTATTTATTTGTTCTTTTCGTTTTTAATTTTGTATTTTTTTGTATCTGTGTGCGTGCCTACTGTCGAATAAATGATTTTTCTTTCTTCTTTCAAGTCTACCATATCCACTTATGCGATTCACTGTAAGTAGAGTAAGATAAATGTGAAGAGAGCATGGTCTTTGTTAAAACTTTGATTCAAAGGAGATAATACTACTTAGGTTATGTATTTAACTTAATTCAGGTATATTTTTGACCGACTTCGTGATTAAACTGGTTGGGCGGCCTTAATAAAATTGATATTTATAAAAGTCGAAGGGCTTACAAAATACAACTTTACTAGTTATTGTGGATGTTACTTTATTAGGTACTTATTTATTAATTGTAGGTAACACAGAACACTCAAACCTGGGACAAGAATTAGTGGACAAAATAGAACCCGTGACACGTTGCACTGCAAGCGTTTGCCCAGCGACTGCACTTGCACTATATACCTGGTCACTGCACCAGCCGTAACTTCTTCCAATCTTAGGCTGGTTTTAGTGTCGCGCTGACCGCACGCTGACCGTCAGCGCTGACAGGCGAGAAATATGAACTTCTAGGGACCGTGCGCGATGATAGCTACGCGTCATTCAAAAACGCTACCTAGAAGTTCATAAAATCTCCGCTGTCAGCGCTGTCGGTCAGGGCGACATTAAAACCAGCCTTAGATACTAATATCGTAATGCGAAAGTTTGTCAGTTTGTGTATGTTGGTAACTGAATCACGTCAAAATGACTGAAGGGATTGGGATGAAATTTGAAACAGGGATAGATTATGGTCTGGAATAACACCACCGCTGACAGAAGCTAGTATCTACCGACATACAAAGTGAACTTATTTTAGGAATCAAGTGGTAACAATATTAACAATATTAAAACATTAGGTATCGAAGGTGACTTAATTAAGCCACATAACAGTTAGGTCTTTTTATAGGTCATTTTAAATACCCCGACAAAGACGTGATTAAGTAATGGAATTTATTTGTCTTTGGGAAATATTTTTTTAATGAGCGTTCTTTCCTATTCGTCAATTAAATGCGATAGAAAAGTCATTATAAAACAACTTGATATAAGTAGGTCGCTTCATTCGTCAGTTAGCATCCGTTAGTTTACGAAGTTGAAATTTTACTTCATTTATTATTTATTAAGCGAAATACAGTGAATGGGTTACCTTTAACAATAGTAAAATTATTAACAATGTTCCTTAATACATTAGATATACATCGGTTTCTAACTATTATTATAATTTTGAGTGAGTATCTGAGAAATCCGTTCCTTATTTTTAATTCAATTATAATATATTTATTTTGATAAAATTATCATTGTGTGTATTAAATTCTTTTTAATTTTTAGTGTTTATAGAATTGAAATTGCTTGAAGCGCAAGTTTCTACGGCAAATAATAATGAAGGCAACTTGCCAACTTCAGTAGAACCGAGGTTTTTAGATCTCGGCGCCTTGGGATTCCCAAACTTTGGTTCGGGAAGATTCGGAAATCCGACAAGTAATTATCCCACGAATTCCTTTTTCCCTTACGGAAATCAGGTAAAGTTTATTTATTAAAGTATTTAAAATTTAATTAATTGTGTAGTCTACTTTGATTGTATTGCTATTATGTTTCTTTCCACTTTTATTATTTAGGACTTTAGCAATGTATAATATAATGGTATTTATGGTTGCCGTAAAATATTTTATAGTTTGATGTATATTACCAAAATATCTTATTATAATTATTTACACTTCAACTGTGTATGTATGTACTGATCATGTAAATATTTTTAGAATAATATACAACGGCCGCAACAGGGTTATCCCAATCAAGGCAATTTCCGAAATAGACCAAGTCAAGGTTACGGGCAAGAATACCCGAATCAGCAAGGATATCCTAATCAACAACGATATCCAATCCAACAAGGCTATCCAAATCAACAAGCCTATCCAGATCTACAAAGTTACCCAAATCAGTCAGGTTACCCAAACCAGCTAGGGTACCCAAATCAACAAGCTTATCCAAATCAACAAGATTATCCAAATCAACAAGGTTATCCAAATCAACCAGGTTATCCAAATCAACAAGGTTATCCAAATCAACAAGGCTACCCATATTTGGGCGATAGTATGAATCCAAATTATCAACGTCCCGAATATCCTAGTGAAGACTTTCAGAACAGACCAATTGAGAGAGGCTACCCAAACCAAGGAAGATTTCCGTATCAAGGAGATAACGAATACCCCAATTATCGAAGGCCTGAATACTTTAATAGACCAGGCGAAGGACCAGCGATGTACCCAGAAGATGTGGAGAGGCCTTATCAAAATCCTGGAGGACCATTAAATCAAGGAGGATATTTCAACCAACCCGGGCAGGGCTATCCTACCAATTCATTTGGGTACCAACCAAGCAATCAATATCCCTCTCCAGATTTTGGGCCAGCACAAGGTAACCCCGGCTATCGGCCGGACGAAGTAGGCAATCTACCTGACGTGAATGAAAATTTTCCTGATGCTTTAGGTCAATTTCAACCGTATAACCCACAAAATACAAATTTTGAGCAGCCTGGTGCTTTTCAAAATAAAAATCCTGGTACTGACATACAACTTCCGAATCAGTTGGATGGAAGTGATAATCCGTCAATAAATCAGTATCCGAATTCAGTTGCGCCGTTCCCAGGAGGACCGGAAAATGTTCCTCCGTTAGTAAATGAACCACCACCGTCGGATAACCAAGGAGGGGTTCCCAATGATAACGATACAGCGGGCATTCTAGGAAAACCAGTAATTGTACCACCGGAACTGGTGACAACAGCACCTGATGAAACAGTGCCCGATAACAGGTATGTATGCATGTAAATTGATTTAGACATTATTTCGTAATAATGACTTTAGCTAGTTCAATTAACATTGGCAAATTGTATTAGTACTTAAGAATAACTATTAGTACCCACCTAATTAAATTATGATGACTATTGTTTTTTATTTATTTTTCAGTACAGAAGACGCAACTAAAAAGAAATGTGTCCAGGACTGTCCATCCACATCAGAATATAATCCTGTGTGTGGTACAGATAACGTGACGTACATAAATCCTGGCAAATTTCTTTGTGCCCAAAATTGTGCCGTCGGTAAGAGCGCTTACGAAAATTATAATATCTCGTAAATTATGATAATAATATTCATTATTTACCTACCTTTTGTGAATATTATTAGAGTATTCTAAATAAATCGCGGCAAAATGGTGATGAATGATTTCGACGCTCATTTCTTATTGTTGTTTTCAGCGGTGCAACTCCTTCAGCGGGGCAGATGTGATAGTGACGTGATTATGTGAGAAGTAGTTTAGAGCAGGACGTCATAACACAAGGAAACAGAATTAACTATTGCATCTTAAAAATAATGTTCCTGACTGTATTACTTTACACTTTTCTATAAAAACGTATAAAACTGGATCATCAAAGTTTTTAGAGCTGTATTCAGATCTCGGTCACGTAATAAATAGTTTTTCCACTTGTTCCATTTTTACTTTAGCGAGGTTTCCCCGCGAACAGTGTTGCTATCATTACTATATGTAATATTTCATGTGAATTCTGGGTCAAACTTGACGAGAGACGAGTTATCGTCTCTAATATGTTAATCTTACTTGATAAAAATCATAACTTCACTAATTTGTTTTGCTGGTAGACTAGCAGTAAGTTGAAGTTAGAAAATCTCGAAAATTTTGTCCCGAAGCGCGTATTGAAGGATCATGTTATGTCCCTGCAGTGCCGCAATGTAGTTCAGTGAATTGTAAACACATGTGAATTGTGGTCCATGATTGATCTTGATTTTGATTGTATTGTAAAACAGATGAAGTGTGTGGGTTTTGAGTGCCACCAAAGTTTTTTCGCGATGGTTCGCGCATGATTTAAAAAGATTTTTATGTATTTGTGTGATCAACAAAGGCTAAATATATTATGTAGGAAAGTAATTGATAAACGTCACAAACCAACATGGCTTGTCACGCAACATGTATGATTTAATAGAAAAGACTGCTCCCTAATACAACAAAACACTATAATTTGTAGGAAAATCGATCAAAAACAACGTTCACAAATTATCTAAACGATGTTATTATAAGAACATGTTACAAAAGACTTTCCTATTTCTATTGAAACAGTACCCTCGTGGAATAGATTGGGCTGAATATGGTTTATACAGAGGTCGTTCATATCACAAACCTATGATTGCAAAGCGGAGTTATCGGTTTTACCGTAATGAAATCCGTCTGCTTCTGTGAATTTCTGCGGCCATTTTGTACGAATGTCGATTGATATATTTGAGTTTATTTGTGACAAGATTTCTTTTATTATAAAGTACTTTACTAGATCTGTCATAAATGTGTAGCCTTTGGTGAAAGTTGTAAACTTTCTTACATACATATGTGTTTCGTTAAAGTAAAGTAAAAGAGACATGAAAGAAAACCTTTTACTTAAACATGAGAGTAAACAAATGTAACTTTCATAACATAACATAACATAACATCACGCCTTTTTATCCCCGAAGGGGTAGGCAGAGGTGCACATTTCAGCACTTAATGCCATTGTACAATGTAACACCCACTTTTCACTATTTATGTTATGAGTCCCATGTAATAGGGGGTGAGCCTATTGCCATATACCGGGCACATTTTTCCAGACTCCGTGCTACTACTGAGATTTTTAAAAACCCAGTAATACTTTGCCCGACCCGGGAATCGAACCCGAGACCCCTTGCCCGACTTTCATAACTTTCTAATATTATCTAGATATATAAATAATCTTTTAAATAACTGACGATGTGGGGTAGGAAATCAAAGGTTCGTTAATACCTTCTAACCTTCAGTTCTAAAATAGTACATAATCATATCTTATGAAAGTCTTGGAAATTACAATCCTTACTATTATAAATGGGAAAGTGAGTTTGTTTGTTTGTTTGTTCCGCTTTCACGCCGTAACTTCTAAACCGATTGCTTTGAATTTTTACAGACGTAAAGTAAGAAGTCCGGATTAAATAATAGGGTTTTATTTTATCCCGGAAGATTTTGATATTCCCGAGGGAAAACAAAAGAATTGGTATAGATGGCGCTGTGTGTATTGGTATATGTCACATAGGCTACTTTTATCCTTTGGTGACGCGAGCGAAGCCGCGGGTAAAAGCTAGTAATAGATAAAGCATCTACCGACGCTTCAACTAACTCAAGATCTTATAGTCTAAATAAAAAAGGTCCTCTAAGTTGTTTCATCAGACTGTTCCAAAAAAAGAGAGTCTTACGAGTATTTTATCTTGTTTTTGTGTTTACAGTAACCGAGCAAACCTAAATATTTTGAAATAGTTTGTCGTACAATTCGGTGGTATTTCGGAGTTCCGATGGCCTTTGAGAAAGTAAAACAACAGGGTTGCAAAGCCACAAAGCTTACAATACCTAGCCGGCAGTCAGGAGCACGTTCCCAAACGTCGTCGATTGTCGAATATCCGTTCACTTGTAGTAAATCGGAACGGTCGTTAGGCTTATCGGTTACATGTGACTAGTTTACCACGATGACGTCACAATCTCGTCACAAACCCAACTTTGCGTATAATAATATGTTATCTATTTAATTCAAATGAAGTTGCGTAACCTCGTTTTCTTTTCATTTTCGTCAAATCAGTCAATTTTCGTCACGCAACGTAAGACATTCAATAGCGTATGATGAAATAAATATGATATGATGACTACCCTTTATACCGAAGGTAGTTAAGTGAATACGGATAGACAACATTATTATTATAAAAATTGGATATTCGTATTTAATTTTAGCTCCAAAAATTAATATTTTCATTTCTGAGAATTTGAATAGCGGACTCAAATCTCTGGACTGTCAATAACGAATATACTAATACAATATTAGTAGAGGCGAGTTCAATAAATGGAGATACTTGATTCCCTCTGATTATAAAAAGGTGAAGAGCGGTGCTTAGGCTAAGGGGCAAAAAGGTGGAGAGGCGAACGAAAAGGGTATACCAAGGAAATTGTGTAAAAGCACCCTTGAGTGAATCCCGTCGTCGGAGTGCGTTTATATTGTCATGTGGCGTGGGGGGCACCGGTCGTTTATTAGATTACCGGGATATATGGTGCACTCTGACTGCTGCAAGAGACTCGTACCTAGAATTAGATATTTCCAGCCCATGTGAAGGATGGAGTGGCGCTACTGAAGGCTTTTACGGCGTCACCTCTTCACACAGAATTTGAAGAGGGAAATATACACAATTTACGTCAGGCTTTCTGAATTGTTAAACGTATCAGCAGTGATGTTGTTTAAGTTAAAGTATGTACGATTGGTTCTCGTCAAAAATTTTAGTCCTCAATATACTGAGGTGATTAACACATTAAACGCCTTGGAGGTTACCGGTGACCGACGTTAGCAGAGGATTTCCTTCAACAGTTTTTTATTGGCAGTCAGTGTTAATGTACTTTCACAAGCGTTTTAGAATGATAGTTAACCTAATTATAAAATAATAATCATTATTAGTATCAATTTGGTATTATTATTATTCATTAACCAGTTTTACTTGTATGTCGTTCAAGTTGTAGGCAATATGCAATGGAGAGTATTATTAAGAAAAGACACAGTGATTCTTTTGTTTCTCTCTCTCGAGGACGGACGGCGCTGACAGCACGTTCTCCACATCCAACTGTCACCATGTCGTGTTACTTCATTCGTTCGAGGACTTTTTATTGAAGTATAAATTTCATTGATATTATAAAATCCTCTTTTTCAATGGGAGGTTCAATAAGATACCATAGAAATGTGATGAAAGGTATCTTACCTATAAGTTTCTCCGGATTTTATTATGAGTGTTTCTACACATACTCCCTTGGGTAAATTATTATTAATTCAGGTTAATTAAAATTAAAGAATATATTATTATGTTTTGATTTTAAACATTAGATACTTAATAAATACGATAATCAGGAATAGTTCTTAACACATTAAACTCTTAGACAATCTTTGGCACGACGTCTCCAGGGTGGAACTAATCCTTGACAATCGACTAGCCCCTTGGGACATCGTTTCGCATGCCTATTATTAGTCGGAGATCAGTCGGATAATCTCGATAAAGCAACAGTCCGTTTTAATAGGGGGTCATAGTTTCTCACAAAGTTACATATTAGTTACTAATGGGACAGATAAATAACTAGTTTAAACCTATAGTAAAACTGTTGTCACCAACATATCTATTTACATTTTATAAACAGTGAGCTAAGTAGTACTTAGCATCCACCACACAAGAATCTCTAAATTGAATTTAACGAAGGCCACAACGAAATGATTGTGAACACAATCGTGGAGCTCTAGATAAGCGCCTTTCGATATTCGTGATCGTTCGAGGTCATCAACATGTATAGAATCGACATTAGCTTTCGAGATATGACGTTATGAAGCGCGATGAAATTCTAATCAAACCAACTATTTCATATCATTATAAATATTCAATTAATGTTGTTACAGAAATGGAAATGTTCGAAAATTATTGGTATTTGCCGAAATGTTCTAGTATTTATCAAAGTTTCCTCAAAACACAATAAAAGCGCCACACCCAGAGCTGTTAATTCTCGTCCTCTAGTACGTACATTGTCAATTTGTTAACGTGAAGCAATAAAAGACTTCCCTTCCCTATATCCCCGAATTAAGTAGCTCAATGTTTGCTAACTAAGTCTCGGTAAACACAATTAAAACGGCATCTCGCATGTGGACGGATTCGAAGAGACTTAGATATAATTTTCCGTAGTAAATCCGGGATTTAAGAAGCCCTTTCAAATTCCCCCGTCCGCCATAAAGGGAATTTTAACGATAGCAAATTGTCTATTTCGACTTGTCTTTTTTCCTACTAAAATTGTAGTCGTACGTCGTACGGTGTATTTTTAACTGGTCGCTTGTGTTGCAGCGGCATTGTCGATTTCCTAGGGGGAAAGTGTCTTCATTTAAGATATTATACAGCACAATATTCCCCTTACTCTTTTTTGTTTTCTTTTAATCTGTGTTGTGTATTTTAGTAACAAAGCTGACGTATATTTTTGAGTCTTTGTTGTGATGGCTAAATTGTAAGCCCAGGAAGATTAACTGAAAATGCAGTACATTTTTTATATCGTCGGTTCCTTAAATTATTAACAAAGTGCATAATGATATCCGTTTTGCAGATTTTTATTTTTTGTCTACATGTTTGTGCATGTAATGTGCCAAATAAATATTTTTTCTTTTATATCGTTCTTTCAGATAAATTTAAGTACATTGTTTCTGTCATTTGTATTCGGTGGACACCTATTAGAATATG